TCCTGTTAATAGCCTAGAGTTTCCCTCTAGGTCAACTATACTAACAGTTGCTACAAATACTCTACTGCTTGGATTATCAGGCTGCCCATCTTGTTATACTTCAGAAGTAGCTTCCTCAAGAAATCTGACACCAGAAAATCAAAATACGAAGACAGGATTAAATCTAACATGAATACAACAGGCAGTACATAATGACCCTGAGTTAACTACTAGTTATGAACTGAGGATATTAAGTTGATGTAAGCTGCAAGATATCATCTTAAGCTAAAGGTGCAACTCCAGTGATGTGCAGAGTGAGCTATCAGCCCTGCTTAAATCATAGAAGAAACTGTTTTGCCTTGTGTTATGCCAATTTTTACAGTGAAGATAACGACTGTGTTGTAATATCAATGCCCTTTGCTTTCAGTTAGCCTGTTTTCTCTCTCCATGGAAATTACTCTACTTCTTTTCACCTTCTTTCCTCCTTTCCCTGCTTATTACTATCAGTTTCTATTGCGTGTACAGGATTTGCTTACTGTAATCCTACCATTTCCCATCTCATACGAAGTTAAACGTGTTCCTCTGCATCCCACATCTCTTCTTTCCTAAATGCAATATTGCACATCCACTTCCTGCACAGCAGGAAGTGATTTCACCTGACTTCACCTCCAGAACAGTACCACAATACTTGCCACTTCTCATTAGTTGATTCACCACCATTACAGTTTTATAAAGACACAAGAGGGTTTACATCAAGACTAGTCAATTGTGGCAGTTAAGAGGATTTACACTCCACACAGAACTTGTAGTAGAATTACTGACTCGGATTACTCAGTGACTCAGATTACTTAGCGCCACTGAATAAACTGCAGAAAATACTTAGTTTCGATTGACAGTGGGACCAAGCTATCGCCTACAAGAGAAATTCTTGATTTCCAATAACCCATCTTGTCTTTCAGTATATATGTCTTTTGAGCTTACCACTTACCACAAGAGGCAGGTTCATCAGAGCCATCCGCACAGTCTATTCCTTGATCACAGTACCAATGAGCAGGAATACAACGTCCCGATGTACAACGAAACTCACTATTTGTGCAAGTCAGTGAGACTGGAAGAAAAAACCTATGTATGACTTCTTTCTTTCTGTTACCCTTCCAACTTGTTTTAAGTTGCTTTTGAATCCATGTTATGCAAAAATATTACAGACCCCAAAAAAGAAAGAGAAAAAATTATGCTAGGAAGGATGTCTTTCCATTGTCTGTCTGCAAAGAGCTCTTTGTACAAATTAGCTTGATTTTTCTACGCAAGAATGAACTTAATTCTCTCCTTAGATATATGTATCAGCTTATAAGAGGGCAGAATTTGCCGTGGAAATAAGATTGCATGCAGCAATTATAAATATGCTCTACATTTATTTTTGAGACTTGTGCATAAGTCACTGGACACAGTCCAGTGTCCTCATTTCTCTAATGCCCTAATCAGGCAGTAGGAGGGAGACTCTATGCTTTACAAGCAACCAAAATGGGAAAGCAAGGAAGTAACATCTCATGACAGATATGTCTTTCCCTGTTCTCCCATTCGTTTTTCTTGACTTGCAGGTAGGAATCTTTTCTTAATGCCAGTGAAGAATAGGCTTTAACACTGAACAGTTCCAGCCAAGCACAGCACAAATATTTCTTCTGCATTCTGGCAGAGCCCCTTGAACCTGGTATGTATACTGGGCTTGATAATTTCTTCAGTAGTTACTGATGTATTCCTGTACCATGTGATAGTTCCAAGATACCAAAAAGGATCTAGTCTGTCCTTTTGACTTGCTCTTAGATGTGTCATTAATGATGGAAATCAAAGGCAATTAGCATATTGCTCAGTAATGTCTTTGGGCTTCTTTCATCCCCCATCCTCCCTTTCTCTCACTCTTTTTTTCCCTTCACCTCTCAGTTTAAGGATCAGTAATCCCAGTGCTGCTGGGGACTTAAGCTGTGGAAGGGACAAAGCACACTTTTCATAAGCAGCACAAGAGTCACTATGTCTGTATGCACGGCAACGTTTTCGTTGACATATAGAGGTCAATGCACAAAGCGGCCACGTTCAGGTATGAAAACTGAACTCAAGTTTTAGAAAGATTGTGGCATAGTTACTTCAAGGCAGGTAACCTCAGGAAAATTAGTGCAAGCAAAAATAATCCACTCAGGCAGTACCAAAAGTAAATCACTGTCTATAAATATCTGTTATATTTTACAAATTGATCCAAGACATTTTACATGGGACAAGCACTACCTAAAAACAAACGTGTTGCACTAGTAAGGAATGCTACTTTGTAATTAAGGCTGACAGAAAACTAGATGCTTTTTTACAGTAACTAGAAGCTACAATGAAAGATGAACCATATGCTACAGTAGATATAGCCACATGAAAGCTCTAAAAGAAACTACATTTGAGACAGTATATAACTTTATTTGATCATACAGAAAAATATCCAAGTTTTAAAGTTCCAGAAAAAGGCAATTCACTACAATGCTTCAGTTCCAGTCACCTCATAAAAATATAAAAGGTACAGACCAGAGTAAGCAAAAGGAATAATCACTCAAATGCTACATAAAAATACTGCAAAAAAGATGCTCATTTTTATTAGATAAAAATGAGATAAAAAGCACAATTTAGATAAATGAGAGGTAAGAGTACAGTGTATATACCTTACAACTCTACAGTATTACAAAATGGTCGATGTTCTCAGAACACTCAGGCTTATTTTGAAGGCAAGGAGCAGTGGAATAAATGACTGACGTGCAGGAAGTTAACTGAGGGCCTATTAACTTACCACAGTGAGTAGGGCTCTCATCACTCATATCTCCACAGTCATTATCCCCATCACACAAATACGTTCGAGGTATGCAAATGTTTGTGCTTTGACATTTTGTAAAACCAGATTGGCAAGTGCGCTCCGCTTTAAGAAGGAGGAAAAAAAATGCAAAAATTTAGAGCTTTTTTTTTTTTTTTTTTAAATACCACTAAGTTGTATCTCACTGAAAGATACATAATACTGCTAAAGAGAGCCCCATCTGTTGGAACTCCAACTACATTTTTTGGTCACACATATGTGCTTCAGATAGCCAACTACCAATGATTCACTGTCAGTTGCACCCAAAGGAAACCAAGGGGCTTTAAAATGGCTGAAGCATCTTTAAAACTTCTAGTCTAGACACCCGCCATTGAAAAGAATAGTAAATTAAAAGCAAAGTGGAATGCTGTGCGTTTTCCTTGCCATTTTCCTTTTCAGTAGTGGATAATCCTGGGTGTCCTTAGAAAATGGAAATTTGAATGAAAATGAAAACCATGACTGTACAACGACAATGAAAATGATAATGAAAATACAAACAATTTTCCTCTCATTTCTGTTCAAATGCTAAAATGTATTCTTATTGTTCATGCTATATGAAAACAATCAGGTAACCACTCTTATCGGCAAAAATGCTGACAAAAAATGTGATTGAAGAAATATATGCCAATACTGGGGGGTGAAGGAATGTAAATTGGCATGTACTCATGCCTGCTTTTGCAACCAGCTGGTACTGTGTGAATCAGTAGATCAACCATAAATGACTAATAGAGCAGGAATTCAGCATATCTGGATTTCACCGAGAACAAAAAAAATTAGTGAATCACAAGTCATAAATATATTACCAAAAAAAAAAAAATCAGTGTACACACAAAGATGTAAAAAACACACTGTCATCTCTAAATAAATTTTCATCGCTATTTCTTTATAATTCCAGCTCTAAATTTTCTATTGAAGGACTGGTGGCAAACATGTAATTAGCTTAAGTGCATTAACAGTCAATATTGAACTAATCACAGTTTATATTTTTAGGAAAACTAATATATTTCATGTTTTACTAAGCATTTTCAAGATGTATAGGGAATATAAATTAAACAAATATAAACTTTGTCTATAAAAGAATCACAGTATTCACTCCTGATGATGAAAATAAGTAAAATTAACATAGCATGACACAAAGTTTACAGTAAAAATTCACTGTCAAACTCAAGGCAAATCCTGCAAAAATATAAGCATTCAATTCACCTGAAATAATCCTGTTGAAGTCAATGGGATTACTCACAAGAGCTAACATCAAGCGCTACATTAGTACTTGTTGGGTCAAAGCAGGCTATTTAAAGTAATGGTTATTACATAAAATCTCATGTTACTCAGGCGTATCTTTTAACAATTTAGTCTGCTTCAAAATAATAGAAAGTCAAATACGTAATGTAAATAAATAACCTTTTATCCTCTTCACTGATTGCATTATAATTCTTTACAACCAAAAAAAACAAATTTGTGTCGTCTTTGGTCTAAAGAGTCAGGCTCAAATATACAATAGGTAGTTAGAATGAACTTACGGCAATTTCTCTCATCGGATGTGCCGTTATCGTAACAGTTGTTTACACCATTGCAGACATACTGAAGAGATATACACCTTCCATTATTACAAGAAAATTCTGTGTGGGAGTCACAAGTTCGGAACAAGCAGCCAGCTTCGTCACTGTTGTCTCCACAGTCATTGTAGTGATCACAGCGGTAATGATAGGGTACACATCGCCCATTGCCACAGGTAAAAGCTGTTGGCTGACAAGTGTGAAAAGCTGCAGGAGATAAAAACAGAAGAATAAAATACATGGATAAAACCTAATCTCAGTTCTCTGATGAAGTAGCAAGTAAAATCACAATATTTTTCTTTTTACCTGCCAGGGCAAACACAGCAGCGAAACGGACTGCATGAAAAGTAAAATACATGTTTGAATTAAACAAAGTAGAAATTGGGTATACCTGATAAAAAAAAGTCAAATCTAAAGCTCTTCTAGATTCTATAGCAAATCAGTTGCCATTTGGACCTCACGATGTAAAAAAGTCTGGGAGCAGGCAAGGGATCTTTTCTATCTAAAGCCATAGGATACAAGCCTATGATCATAAAGCCATAAAAGCAATACTGAATATAGTATAGGCAGGACAAAAACTGCATCATTTTCTCATGTGTCAAATGCTTACCACACACATTCTCCAGCTCATCACTGCCATCACCACAATCATTGTCATTGTCGCATTTCCACCGCTCTGAGATACACCGCCCATTAAGGCATGTGAAGAAACCAGCCTCACACCTGGTACCGTTATCCACAATACAGTGCTTGTTATTATTGGCTAAATACCAGCGACCTTCGGAGGGGCACTGACATTCTGCACCAGCTGGACCTAAATTTATGTTTGACAGTAAACAACAACAAATGCAAACATATTTAATACTGATGCTTTAGATAAGTTCCTACGAAACTGTTCACAGCTATAACACTGGGAAATGCACTGAAACTTCTGTAAGATCTATCTGCTCAGATAGAAACGTGGCTATTGAGCCAGATTTTTCTCTCAGTTAGCACTGCAAACCCAATAAAATCCAGAAGAGTTACTTCAGAGTCCACTAGAGGAACTGAGATCAGAACTTGGAATACCGTAATGTTTGCTTACTGTACAAATACCTTCTGGGTGGCAGAAAGATAGCATCTGATGCTTTCAAGTACCAGAGCTATATCAGGTGAAGCTTTGCCCTCAAAATTAAAACAGCATTTTCAAAACTTCTGTGCACTGGACTAACCAATCTTCTCAAAATCAATGAGAAATCAAGCTGTTTTCAGGCAAGATAGATTTTTAAAGGCATTTAAGACACTAAAGATGAAAGCAGCCCATGAATGGGATTTTCCAAAGTCAAGAATCCTAACTCCCAGAAACCCACATCACACCAGTCAGCTACGTGGCAGGTATGCTCTTTGGGGAACAACGCATTCTGGTTTCCTGGTCATCTAGATTAATGGCCTTTTGCAGCACTTTGGTTCCCTCCTTGCATGTGCACCCAGGTCTTAAGCTACAAAATGGACAATTATCTCTCATCACAGAGGTATAAGTTAGAATCCCAGGAAAAGTGTTTTGGTTTAAGTGAAGGAAACCTATAGTTTTTATTTGTGAAGATTCTCAAACAGAACCTCTGGTGTGTTGGCCATGACCTTGAACTGCAAACATTTTCATTGCATTATATTAATAAAATTAATATTAAATATTTTGTGTGTGTGTGTGTGTGTGTGTGTGCATATGTATGTGTGTTTCAATTAAGAAACATTTCAGCTGTGGCCATGTGACTATAAACGGTTATATTATGAGTTCTAATACAGGTAACACTAACCACTTACAGTCATCAAGCATAATAGCTTACCTGGTGCACAGATGTGACTGCAACCACCGTTGAACTGGTTGCAAGGATTGGTACACTGCTGCTGCTTACTCTTTGCCCAGACATGAATATCCATTGGTCTCTGTGGCAGATTCATGATCATTACAATCTGATCTGAACCATCATACTTATTAGCTCGGTAAATGCTTCGTGTGTTCCAGTCTGTCCAGTAAACGTGCTGATCAAACAAAGTAACTGCAAATGGATGCAGAGCAGTGCTAACAATTACCTCACGGTTTGTACCAGTGAGCGTGCATCGCTCTATCTTCTGCCTAAAATAATAAAGAAATGATGACAACTTTTCCTGTCTTTTAACAGGGCTTTTAAACAGTCTTTTAACTTTTAGATAAACAATACCTAATTAGTCCTGCAACTAGTATCCACCATTTACTGAAATGTACACCAATGTCAATGTGTAGGGTGTTGTTATGAGTTAAAACCTCATACTTTCCAGCAGTAATGCAAAGTAGCAGTTCTGCAACACTGACACAATAATGTAACGTAAGTAATCAGTTTATAGACTGAATTGTTTGAAAAACTATTTTACTGAGAGCTAAAACGAATTCTAAATTTCATAAAAGGGTATGCTCTTGGAATGGGTGTGACATTAATGACTTCTTGTACAGGAGAAAACAACAGATTCATGAAACGGGAAATGTTTTCATCTCATTTTTATCTTCTGCAGACCCAAATTCACACAACCAGGAAATACAAGCAAATTCCTGAGATTATAAATATGGACTTTCTGCTAGTTCTCACATATGGATACAGAAGGGGGAAAAAGAGTTCTAATAAGTGCATCTATATAATAAATATACATTTCTGCCTAGCTGATCTTTCCAGTTCTGATTCTACCTTATGAACAGTATTTGCAATGATAAACAAAATTCCAAGAATCAAGATCTCGAGGACCTCCAGAAATTTGTCTCTCCAACATAAAGTTCTGTGATAGCCATATTCCTGACTTATGTGGCCCAGTCTTTACTTGCCATAGACCATGCTGCTGACTCAAGACCACCTTGTCAGTGGCTGTCCCCTTCAGTCATTTCTACCCGAATGACTACTTCAGCAAAGGTCAGCGTGGGAGCAGAAGATATGCTGATTCTGGAGACTCAATGTACACTTTTCATGCAAAGACGTTATTTCTGAAAATTGTTTACAAGACCCCAAATGTTAGACACTCCTTTTACCCCATAGATTCCTGTCAGAGACAGGCAGACCATACAAGAATTAAGGACAACAGAAGAGAAAATGGTGGTTGTCCAAGGATTATTTGCAATGAGGAGCACAAGTGAAGAATTTCTCTAGCAATAAATGGGTTTTTTGAAAGAGAGACAAAGAGCTTTACAGAAAAGAAGCAGGATGGAGTTTAATACTGAAAGTGAGATGAGGTACCATCAGCAAACTGAAGACACTAGAACAACTATGAACATGAATAAAGGCTGCTCCTTGACTCCAGTTCCCAAGAGCATGACTGCTACTGGTCTGTTCACATGGCATGGCTGCCACCTGCTTACTGACAGAAAGAACAGACTTCAGTTTGTCTCTGCTCCTTCAAGCATGCCATCATTCAATTGTCTTGTTCTTAATCCTCATCTCTAAAGAGCAGATAAAGATAGGGCAGTGGGTATGCTCATGTATGAAGGCATAAAGCTTGAGGTGTTGGGTGGTGTTTATGGAATAACAATGGAATGGAAAAATTCTCTAAGAAGCTGTGGTGCCTTTCTCACACAAGATTCTGAAAAGAAGCTAATAAGAAGGATAAGGATAAGGATAAGGATGTAGGATAAGGAAAAGGAAACTGTGGGACTAAAGATGTCATACTCTGGTGTTTTTTTCTCATTAGTAGCTTCTCTCCCTGTTCATCGTGGGAACGCCAACATCTCTCATCTGAGAATTCAGAAGTGTCTAATGTACTTGTTAGAGACTACAAGAGGAAGCTTCACCCTTCAGTTCAAGCCACTGAAAGTTCTCACAAAAACTCAGAAATACTCCAACAACTCAGCACTGGCAGTAAGAAAAATCACTTGAATTTACTTTATCGAACCTGAAGTCAAACGTACGTTTAAGTCTTCCTTAGAGACAAAATGCAGTTATTACCAATTGCATTTCAGGCACTACTATCAGTGCAGGTTGCATAAGAAAAACAGCTAACAGAGAGGAATAATCAGATAAAAAATTTCTCAGTCAGCTGAACACCTCCTCTCCTTTGTCATTACTAATAGGAAGGAAAAAGCTGCAATTTGTATAAGCAGCAGGAGAAGATATAGCAGAATTTTAACAATTATTAATGTAAAATAATAATGGACAAAGGCTTTAATGCAAGAAAACAAAAGGCATCTTTCTACCAAATAGTGCTTCTGCAAAAGAAACAGAAGCTCAGCTGCAACTCTCCTGCAGTTCAGGCTCAGACAATTGCCCCTTCAGTGCCACAAAGCACCTTTGTAGGGGAAGCCCTGCACATAGTTCCCAAGTGTCAGCATGGAAACTGCAAAGATCTAAGAGAGGAATACAATACAATACAATCACCACATACATTCTCTCTACTTGAGAATTGTTTGTCTGCCCACTGATATCATGAAATTTACAAGGCAGCATGAAGGGCTAGAACAAAAGAATGGAAAACAATTTTAGAGAAGGACAGAGGGCACCTCTAGGAGACTGACATAAGCAAGATGGAAGTAAGTTCCAGGAAAAATGGAGGAGAACATAGGACTGGCCTTTGCATTCCCTTGGTGCATTGGGAGCTAAGGAGCACTGCCTTTCTTTGGTGTCTAATCCTCGTCCCTTATGAGAATACCTTGTGGTATCTGCCCCTCTGAAGGGGTGAAGACTCTCTTCCTCTTCCCCTCTCACCTCCCAAAGAAAGCGAGGATACAGCAGACTTCATTCTCTTTAAGTGCCTGCTCCCCTGCCTACATTAACTGGAGAACAAAAGAGAGAAGAGGTGTCTGAGCCCTTTACTTGACCTCCTGCATCTGTAGTGGAATCTAAGGGTCCCTACCTTCCTCTATGTGGACAAATCCATATAAGGATGCCTTCCTCCCAGAAGATCCCATAGAGGCACACACCACAAGAGTTAAGTTGTTACATTATAGACTTCTTTCCATTACAGCAGCAGAGAAGGCCACAAAAGAACTGCTGTACTGCAGGAACTTGATGGAAAAGGCTTGACTGGTGCAGTTATTTCCCTGAGCGTGTGGGTGAATTTCAAAGCTGAAATGAAGGTACTACTTCATGAGAGTGGGTACGAACTAAACTACCCTTAAAAGCTTTCCTGCTTTAAAAGCTTTCCTGGCAGAAATTCTGGTGCCATGACTTGAAGGTTAGGGTAGGCAGGGTTAGGTCTGGTAGGCAACAGCACGAGCATCAAGCCAGATTCTATAAGTGACAGGCATCAACCATGAGCAATGAAAAGTTGCTTATAGAAGTCCTGGGTTCAAAGGAGGACAAATAAGCTGCCAGTGGGTAGAAATGCCATAAAGCACTGGACTAAACCTACCCTGTAAAGTCACAAAACTTCTTATTCCACAGTAGTTCCGCACCAATGTCCATACTACTTAGGGCTTATTTCTTGCAATAAGCCATGAAGTAATTTTTAACATTCTATAATACAAAGTATCAAATTAAATAACAGGTAGAAAAAAAGAGGAAAAATAATGGATATCTTAAAAAGTAACCTGACGTAAATCAACAAGCATGCTATTGATACATACAGATTTGCATCAGCCCAGTATAGCTGCTGTTCTTCATAGTCCAAGGTGAGCCCGTTCGGCCATACTAAATTGGTGCTAACAACAGGTGTTCTGAAGTTTCCTCCAAGTGTAGCTCGTTCTATCTTTGCATTGGAACTCCAGTCAGTCCAGTACATATACCTGGCCAATAAGATGATTGCAAAGTTACATTTTCAAATGGAGCTCACAAAGTTCTTATCTCCTCCAGCAGGCATCTCTACCCTGACCCCTTCCATTGAAGTGAAGAACGCAGAACTAGGGGGGAAAAGAACTTCTCCCTCTATTCTGACCCACTTTTACAAGGGAATTTCTGGTGGGGAATAGCTGGACTCCATCAGAGTGAACTTCAAAAAAGCTTTTCTAGTTCTTACGAGAATCCTGTAAAGTCAATTAATCTTTTTTATTTTCTATCTTTATTTGTAGTACAGTGTAATACCGCCCCCAGCCTCTCAGGGATGTTTTGATACTAAATACATGAATAGTTCCGAGGCTGTCAGGAAGTACAACAATAGAAGGGAAAGACCGTGTAGAACTAAAGAGACCGATCTCTTTGCCCTGCCATCTGATCATCAAGATACGATATTTTTGAGGAAACCTTGGTTTAAACAAATTTTTTTTCCTTCTGTGTAGCCCAGCAAATAGAGGAGGGTTAGTTGCTTGACAAACCTCTGCTTTGAAAATCATTGTCTCATTTACCCCCAGTGTCTAGCTCCAGTCCTAAGTAGAGCCTCACATACTACACTAGGCCTCTCACTTCCAGCTACCTCACACTATTTCAGATTGACTGCATATTTCTAACATACAATGTGTGTGTTGTCTCGCATAGCACAGGTGCGTAGGAATCAGTAAATCGAACAGTTCTCTCCCACTGCTAGCATACTGAAATATGCGGGAAATCTCAGATCTGTCAGAAACCTCCTCCTCCGTTTTTCCTTTAAAAACAATGTAGCACGTATTTTATCCCTGCTGTCCATATGGAAACAGCTCATTCTTCACCCATTTGATAACTACATTGCCAGAGCTCACTATCAGAGAAATCTGAATTTGGTCTTCTCTCTCTACTTTTTTAAATGTTACTGCATAAATATTTCTGAAAATAAAGAGTGTTATGGTTGCAGAGTCAATTACTGTTTGATTCTAGCCCCTCTGCTCCCTCCTCACACAGCTCTGGCACTAGCAGCTAGAGTATCAGTCACTCCTTGGTTGTTCTTCTGATGCCCAGTGCTGCCAGAACGACAACTGCAGAAAAAGTCCTGCAGCGCTGGATGTAAGCCCAGCGCAAAAAGCTTTTCAATTAACTTGACTGGTAAATCTAGAGTTTACTGAGCACACACAAACATGGAACTTTCTCAAAGTTAAACTAGCCAAGTTTAAATTTTTCTTTTTTTTTCTTCATGGAATAAGCCAAAAAGACATCTTTGACAGCTGCTGACCCACTCGATAAATTTCAAGCTCTTGCTCCCAAAGAAACAAAGGCTTCTAGTCCAAACACCTACCCTCATTCAGAAATGTTCTGAAAATCTCAGAAGAAAATTCAAATCTCTGAGGCTGAGATCAACTCAGAAAATTCAGACAAAGATTTACATCTCAGACAGTTATTTGCAGCTGGAACTGAGGGGCTTAGTACCAAGCAGTCTTAATTAAAGCCTGAACTATGGTTTTACCTGCAATCGAAATAAAGTATACAAAGTGCAACACATACCCTCTGCAGGGATCTAATACAATGGCTCTTGGTCGTGGAACCCGGGCGATCACCGTGCGATTAGAGCCATCCACCGCCATTGAGCTGATAGTCTGATTGAGGTAGTCACTGTAGTAAATTCTGCTATTGATCCAGTCAAAGGCTATGCCATCTGGAGTCCCCAGATCTTAGACACACATGCAAATACACACACACAAAAAGTTCAGTATAGTACGGTTTCCTGAGATACTGCAATATTTTCTCCTATTATAATGTAGCAACTCCAAAGATATTCTTCTCCTTGAAGTGCCAATGGTATCAATGCAAATTTGCCCATTTAAAATCTGAAGTTCGGACTTAGACAGTTCTGTGTGTGCAGCAGGGTTACAGAGAGCCTTTTCCTCCCACAGACATAAGTGCTGGTCGCTCTTCTCCAAAAAGTGACAAGAATCATCCCTCACTGCATCCCATGCCTACAGATAGCACCAAATAGAGCAGAGCAGAGATGGATACGAGAGAGACATTCTCTTGTCCTCCTTTTGTATCTATCCTGGAAAGCGACCCAGCTAGTATGACAAATAAGCTGTATCCTTGAAGATAGCGCAGCAACAGGGAAGACTTCAAGATGCAAACCCTTCTGAGCTCATCCAGAGAAGGTACAGGTCCCCACTACCCTTAACAGCAAAGTATACTGAAATGAGGACCTAAGGTGTCCATCAGTCCAATGTACTCACACAACTTAACCACACAATTATTAGGAACAATTACTGGCTTTCTCAAAACACAGTCTGGTGGTCTTTTCAGTCTCTCTGAACTCTGCTTTACATCACCTCTGACCCATCTCTGAACTGGCCTGCTACCATGCTTTTCTCTCACTCTGTTCTGAAGAGCTGCTCCCCCTGCAACATCCACAGGAATGTAATTGCCATTTAACAGCAAGTCTCAGGGAAAACTGGAGATTGTCCATAATCATTCAAATATTTTAATAAACTAAAACACTACAATAGCCACATCATCATGGGCATTTAAATTCTATATTAACTGATCTAATTTTTCTTTTCATGCTCATGAAGTCAGAGTATTTTTTTGTATTTGTATGGTCGTCCCTGCAATCTGAGAACTATTAAAAATACATAACAATATTTAACTAATTTTACACTTCCAGTTCATTGTGATCAAGATAAAATTAGTATCTCAAAAGAGGGGGAAAAAAAGATCAGAAGAATCAAAGGGAGCATTTAATCAGGTATCTTAACTAAACAGTCGACCTTGACCATTAAAATACAAATATCTGCTGAGGTAGCAGGTAGCTGCTGCAGTCCATTTTTTCCAATATCCAATTACTTTGAATCGCATTTCAGTGCGCTTACCTGATGCAACTACTGTTGGAGTGCCAATTCCTGAGTAAATACTAACATAACTGATTCTTCCTGTCCCTGAGGGGGAACTTTGTGTAAAATATATTCGGTTGTTCAAGCTGTCAAAGTCTAGGGCCACTGCAGTTCTTAAAACATTGACTGTGCGGAAAGGGGGACTGTGATTTTCAGGATCCAGGTGGATGCTTCTGAGGGCATTCTCAAGGGCAAAAATCAAGTAATCGTCTGTTGAAATGGAACATCTCTTGCCATCGCTGCCTAGCGTTCCAAAGGCACAACCACATTTGGGTGTTTGCAAATCCGGCAGGGCAAAACATAGATGGGAACAGCCTCCGTTGTTCTCCAGACAAGGATTGTTGTTGACGTCAAGGGGTGAACGTGACTGGAAACGACTGTTGTAAATGGTAACATCCCTTAGCCAATTAATGTTGTCTCGTATAACAGTTGGCTGATCTGTATTGCCTGGCTCCTTGCTGGCTTGGAAGACTTTCTTCAGGTTCCTGTCCACCCAGATCATGGAATTTTCAAAGACAGTGATACCATATGGAGTTGGATAGCGACTGCCGTAACGCACAATTTCAACATCACCACCATCAGGCTGAATTCTTGCAATCATATCTAAGGAATCATCCACCCAGTAAATGTAGCCATTGCTGTGATCTATGGCCAAACCACGAGGTGTGACAATGCCCTCAGACACAAGCACTGTTCTGTTGGTGCAGTCAAGAAATGCACGTTCGATCTTTGGATTCTGTCCGTAATCTGCCCAGAACAGATACCTGTTTTTTGGGTCTACTACTATGTGCCTTGGCATATCTACTGTAGTTTTAAGCAGAACGCGGCGATAAGTTGTGTTTAAACGCAAAACTTCTATAAAAGTCTCTGTCAGGAAAGCATTTGTAAAATAAAGATTTCCTGTATTTAAAAAGAGAAACAAAACAAAGCAGAAAGGCAGAAAGTTAATCAGCACCTGAGAAACATGAGCTGATAGAATACTGAACATACAGCCATAATAAAATGAATAGTCATAAACATCTCATGGAGGTTCCTGCCTCCACTTTCAGGAACTGGGGGGGGAAGGGGGGGTAAGGGGAAAGGCACCCAAAATGACAAAAATCAATTAATTTGTAAATCCTCTCTGATTTCCAAGGGGAAAATCAGTGGTATGAGATCAAAATGATATTAACATTTTGCATTAGCCACAGTTTTTCTTTGGAATTTTTTTAATCTAAAGTATTTAGCATCAGTAAATTAGAGCTACTATTGGCACACCCTTCCATACTGCTATCCCTTCACCTTTTACAACATACAACTATGAAATCCATGTTATGGCACAGTATTGTATACAGTAACTAAACTAATTTTCACAATCAGTGAGAAGGTACAAGGTCTAGATAATGATTCTAAAACTCATCCTTATAAGCATATCAATCAACAGAGGAACTTCTGCAAAATATATATTTTACATGCTTGTCTGCGTGTGTGTGCATGTGTGTGTGTGTATTTTTATATACTTATATATATATATATATTTATAAAAGGTATTAATGGCAATGATCAACTACTTGGAACTGATGAATAAACACTTTCTAAAGAATTAATGTTTGAATGAATCTATAAATAATAATAATAATAGAATAATCTGTCTGCTTAAATGGGAATGGGAAGTGTATATAGGAAAATTAAAGTTCAAATACAAAGTATTTCTTCTGCTTTGTTTACTTTTCAGTGTAGATTACAGGATTTCTACACAGCAATCTGAGGGTAGATGAAAGGTCCTTCTTTCCTATCAAAAATGTCATCAGACAACTTTTGCGTACTCTTCCCTCCGGTCTTTCACTAAGTATGGTGTGCACACTGATGCGCTCAACAGCTACTTATGAATGCACAGGCAAAAAAAGGAACATAACTAAGACATATATTAAAGCACTATAATGCAAGGAATTTATAATGCTATAAATTTGTTTTGTTTAACATCTTATACCCAGGTCATATCTCAAAAGATAGATGAACTTTCATTTTTACATGTACACATAAACTTAAAAGTCATTCATTAGTTCCTCTCATTTTAAAATCATTTCATAGACGCACAATACAAGTTAAAATCATATATGATTTCCCTTTGAAATAGTTCCACTAGGATCTGTTTATTAGTCTAAACATTTTAGAACATGCAAAGAAAAACACTTTCCAAAATTCAGCTAGCTTACCTGCTACCCAGTCAACTGCAATGCCACGAATTCCATTTCGTCCTATTCCATTGGTAATAACATTTCTAAAATAAGAACCATCAGGTTTAATTTTACGTATTGCATTCTGAGAAGAAACTGTGCTGCTGAAGTCACACCAGTAGATGAAACCAGACGGCATGTGAACATCCACATGAAGTGCGTTGCGTCCTGAAACGTTTTGAAAAGTAACATTTTATTATTTTATTATAATCTTTTATTTAAACTAATTTATATAAAATATGTGGGGCATGCAGCTAAGAAACGACTTGAGATTTGACATATTCATGGTACAAAAATTATCATCAATTTACAATGTCATGGCATTTTCTCCTGTATAAGCATTTTCATAGATAAAATTCTAATGCATACCGTATTGCAGTGTTACAGCTCTGATGTGCGGTATTTTGAACACTGTGTGAGAGTATTAAGCTATTCAAGTTTAACTTCTACCGTATGCTAAAAATCAAACTTATTATCTAAAACTGGAAAAAAAAGAGAGGCTGCCTCAATAAATGCCACTGCCTCGTACAGCTTTATTACCCATTTAGTGTTTAGGTAGCATTCGTCCTATTTAGCTTGCAGTACTACATACAATACGTTTGATAATTAATCAGTCAACTATTAGATTGCCAAAAATTAGGAGAGATGAGATTTTTTTTTTTCTGTGCTATAATATTCACATACCTCTTCCTGCCAGTGGTACCATGGCTTCAGAATGATCAGATGTCTCTAAACTAAATCCTTTAATTGCAGAAAGCATAGAAACAATTACAAAAGAACTGTATGGGGAACAGGTTCTGTTATCAGGATTTAGCTGAAAGCCTGTAGCGCAGGCACAGGAGAATAATCCACCAGGTACAGGCAGGCAAAGCTGCTGACAAACTCCAATATTATTACTGCAGCCGTTTGAAGAACCAGCAGAATCTGTGAAAGACAGACATGGCTACACGTACATATTTGAACTGTGTTCATCAGAAACTCCCGCACGTATAAAACTAAATTCATATATTTGCATAGTATTGTCAACTAGGTGACAAAAATAAAGATCTTAATGCACACTTTAGCACATAATTGTTAGTAATCAATTTGCTGGTTTCTTGTTATTTAAGATCAACACAGCTAAGAATCACGTAAAACTCATAAATTTTAAGCTAACAGTAACATAATTCATTATTCAGTCAATATTACATGAATAATTTTATGGTAAAACTACATATGACAACACACATGCCTTAACTGAATGGCGGAACAACTCTTTAATAAAGTCAGGTAAATACTTCTGACACTTTTCAAAAAGCCTTCCCCTAATCAAACAGTTTGGAAAGAGCATGCATTCTGTCTCTGAGGCAATCTGGAGTTTTCACAAGTTGGATATCTTGAAACTCCTCTTTAGCAAACACTTACTGTCTCTGTAATAAACTCGCAGGCACTTCAGTCTTGGGATATTATCTCTCAGCAATACTTTGTTTGCTCCAGTGGATTTGTCAACTCGTTCAATGACTTCATAATCTCGATCAGTATAGTACAAAAAGGTATCATACACAGCAACTCCCCATGGGTGAGAAAGATGAACCACTAGAGTCACACGATTTGTACCATCCACATTGCCTTTTTCAATCTAAGAAATCAGTTTAAAGGTCAATATTACATTTATCATAATAAAAGTTCAATGTTACAATACAAAATTAAAATACAGTATCTGGTACTAAAATCTCTTCATGCAAAAGATTGTTATGTACCTTCCATAGGTAGGAAGGAAAGCGTGAGCAGGATGCTAATAATGATTTCTCTATTTTCATTCAAATTCACCATATATTTTTTCAAGGCAACTGAATGACAACAATCATCCCGATTTTGCTCAGTCCTGCAGCTCCCAGTTACATGAGTAAATTGTGGTAACTGAATTAGTCAGGAGAACCACAGACAGAGATAAACTGGTAACAAAGCAACTATTGAAAAATTAACTCCTACCGTTCCTGTGCTTGTGACAGCCCAGTACAACTTTTGTTCCTTAATGTCAATGGTAATGAACTCTACATGATCAAGGTTGCCAGTGAAGAGGGTTTGTATGTCTGAGCCATCCATGTTTGCACTGGCAACCTTGGCAGGGACTCCACTGTCAGTTCCCTGGTCTGTCCAGTACAGCTTCCTGTAACACACATTGTCATAACCGTTAGCAAGCTAATAACAGAGATCAATGGCCCAGAGTCACTTAAGTAGATGCTTAAGTCCATGTCCTTCCTCAGCCAAATACTTTAGCACATGTTGAATAGAGACCGCTTTTGAAGCGGGCCCAGAGTGAAAAACAGATCTTGTTTTACACGAACAGTGCTTGTCAGATTAGTTTTAGAAACCCATTTTCTCCCCTGTATGAGCCACAGGGCTCAGCAGATAAACCCCACTAATGTTAGGAGTATAATAAGAAAGGAGGAGAATAATTCTTTTCACAGAGGGCTCCTAGATTTCAACAGTAGGTTTCATTCTGATTCGGTGTTAAAATTGTAAGTTCAAAAAATTCTACACGAAACATAGTTCCATTGTCTGGCTCTGGGGAGTACATGCACGGCTCTGGCCTGAGCTGCTGAACAGAAACAGCAACGGCACATGGCAGCCACAGTCCCAACTAGGGACAAAGAGCAAAGAAATTGGGGTGAGGGGAAAAACACAACCATCGACTCATCTGAAAGCCTGAGGAGCCACCAGTACAGCTGCCTCATTACTAACATGATCCTACGGAATGCTATGATTTCGAAAAAAGCATCATATTGTAATTTTGAGTATTTTTTTAAAAAACAAATTAGAGATCTTATAATCCCATTTACAGACTCCTGTATAGGGTTCCCATTTTGGGAGAGAGCAGTAAAATCATATTTAGTATTATGCTATTTAAAATGTGTCACTCTTCCCATGTAGTGTCTTCTTCTATCTTAGACAAGCCTCAAGAGAGGCATCATAAGATTTTAGAAAGACAGATTTCATAACTCTTTACTCTGTTTTCCCATTTTACAGAGGTTTTTTTCACAGTCATAGTATTCTTAGGCCCTTTTTTAATTAAAAAATGAATTTTAACAAAGTAAGTAGTATTTTAAGGAGATTGACCATCTATGCAACTATTTATGTAGTCATACAATTATTATGGAGGACATAGAAACACATGCTGCACAAATATGAAAAAAAAATCATGTCAATCCAGATTGGAAGCTGAAGGTCCAAAAATTAGGAAAAACGTGGAGAAAATACTCATTTGCAAAAACGACAGCAATTTTAAAAATTTACCCTCTTGCTGGATCAACAGTCAAACCAATCGGGTTGCCAGCTCCAACTGAGGTACCATCGTTGGTGATCAGAGTTTTCCTGTACTTTACTTCACCATGCAGCTTCAGGACCTATGCAAGCATTGAAGTCATTTAGAGCATGTAAAATAGAACTTAGCATAGACTTTCAAATGAAAAGGAAGGAAGTCTAAATCCACAGGCAGCTGAAATTGCAGAAAACTCTTTCAAACACTAAGAAGAAAAAGCACATTGCTCTGGTACTCTTAACTATCTCCTTCACTAACACACGCCCCCGATTGAGCCCCCTGCAGCTCAGAAGCTACCTGTGTTAACAATTAACACTCCTAGGTATAAAAAGAGCTTATCTTTCAGCTTCCAAAATAACTTGACAGCATTACAGGCTGAACGGGTTGATGAAACGAGGACTTAAAAAGTATTCCATTTCACTTGTTTAAAATTAGCTTCCTGTTAATTAATAGTGTATATCGTCTTGATATTTTAGGACAGGGAAATTCATGATTGGGCTTATTCACATTCATCATTGTATTATATACCGCTTACCCTCTCTTCACCTACACTAAATGGCATTTTTATCCTTCACATAGCATCAGTCTGCTAGTCTCTAAGAAACAACATAATATGATATCAAAGCATTTGGGAGTGGTTCTCACTGCATTTGATGGCAACATTCCTTCAACATCATTAATTTTGAAAAAAAAATCATATTGCAATTTGAGTTAAAATTAACAATTATTTAACTAAATTAACGGTTAAAGTTATTGTATTGAGATCTTTGACTTCAAGCAAGAAGAGTAACAATAACAGTAACTCTAGTGTTTGGAGAGTTCATGTGTGTCAAACACCAGAGGCCTACTGACTTGAAGAAAAAAAGAGAGAACCATACACAAATAAAGTTCCAGGAATATATTGCTTTTAACATCTTTTTCCCGGATTCAAATTTAGGTTTGATTCCTCATGTTTTTAGATTACTTTCCTTCAGACTATTTGTTTGCATTTTCTAGTACATAGTTTTAAAATAAGTCTAATTTCAGGAGTTTTTCACTAAATAATATTACTGATTTCAAATTGTATACATTGCAGCCAAAAATTTAGGCTTTTATTTTACAGTTGTGCTTTTTAAATAATTACCTCAATTGACTGTGTTCCTGGATTACTGTAATACAGGTTTGCAGATATCCAGTCCAATGCCAGGCCAATAGGAGCACCAATAACGGCTGCTGGAGCAAAAACGGTCCTATTCGTTCCATCTGACCTCACTCTGTGAATTTCACCCTTGGAAAAAAGACAAAAGTGAAAATACGTCAAGAGCAGCTTCACAAAGAAAATACTGCTTCATTCCAACTGCTCAAGCATTTATTTTATGTTATACTCTTTTCTTAGCTAAAGGAAAATCCCAGAGAGATACAGAAATGTATTTGTACATGTACAAAGCATAAACATGATAAAAACGTGACTGTAAATTCTAATTATATGATGTAAAGAAGTATTACAGTTCACCAAGCAAATCAATTTGATTGGCAGGAAAGAAATGGCTATATAAGACTAAAATGTATATTTTAAAGTTATATACAGTCACAATAACGTGAACTGCACTTTATTATCAAAAGATTTTGACTAGGATACCTCATTTAATCATCTTGAATACACCTGAAACCTAATAAAGGAAAATAAAGAGTGTTCTTTCTAAGCATAAACATTTAAGAACCAAATTTTTAATAAGCTGTAATAGTAGGAAACACAATTAGGATTATCCTTTGAGCTCTCTTCATAATGGCAGCTCCTGAAATGACAACCTATGATTCAACAGTATTAGTTACAGCGTGCAACACTAAAGTATGATTTCAACAAGCACTAAACATCAGACAAACCAGCGTGAGAGCTAAAGTGGCTACTGTAGCTGACCTCCTGAGGTTTTCTCAGGTTATGTCAATTTTACAGGAGCTGTGCAGAAGTCAGTGATGGGTATCATCATGCCAATCTTTCACAACACATACTAAAACAGAATTAGAGTAGCAGCAGCTATCATAAAAATTAATGAGCCTTTTCAACATGGGTTCAGTAGAGTTTGGGGAGCTGTGAGTGAGAGCTGAAATTTGTTTCCCTCTCCTCACCAACTCCTTCCTCCTCCACCTGGCAAGACCTCACTTCATTGCAGAGGTGCTCAGACTGGGACCCACCACCCTATTTCTTCACTGAAGGTGCACATGCAGCAGATCTGTTCTGCTCTGACACTTTGCTGGAAAGGCAGGGGAGCGCCGCCAACTAGAAAGGGACAAAACCTGTAGCCCACCACTACAGCCCTGAGTTCGCACCACTGGAAGAGAGAAGCTCTACAGCTGAACTATACCAGTTCAGGAAGGTCAGATCGCACGTGCCAGTTCAGAACAGAAACAAGTCAGAATCAGGGTTATACCAGCACCCAGTGATGATTTGGTTCATGTACATTTTTAATTTGCTCTTTTTATTGTTATATCAGTATACTGCCTAATAGAAACATCTGAAGGTAGAATTCAGAATGGCCACTCATAGACACTTCAAAGAGAGTTAGAAGGTCTCCTGCCTATTGCTGTTGCTTACAATTAAAAACCTATGGAACATGATAACTGAAGACAAAAATACTTGGGAAGTGTTTTTCAGGTAGAACAGGTAGGACTGATATTTATCTCAGCTCTGAGCATGCTTCAAACAGTGGGAACAAGATGATGGATATTAACCTACAGCTTTAACTGTTGCCAACACTGGGAGTGAAATTACAGCTACAAACTACGCAAGTGCAGACAAACCCCAAGGAAATCAAAACATGCAACAGATGGAGGCAAAAAGAGGGTGTTAAAAGAAGAGGCTTTGTGGTAATGGGAAAGGACTATAATGAAAAAAGTAGGCAATACACTTCTGTCATCAGAAACTAGTGAAATATCTTTTTTAGAGAAGAAGCCGTGACACAGGTGCCTCAGCTCTGTTGGGAAACAACAGCAATCTGAGACCTATGGGTCAGGGTTATAGACAGGCAGGTACAGCCCATAATCATACCTTTGTCAGGCTGGCACTCAAGACCTAACTGAAATATAGCACTTACTGCACTCAGCCTGCAGCTGCACCTGGCATTTCACTTGGCAGTTCTGTTAAGGGATACATCAGTCCCTGACCTCCTACAGAGCTCTTCAACCTCTTGTAAATGTCAGCTGTAGCTGCTGGCTGAGACCTGGCAAGAGTGTTTTCAGATTGCACAGAGAATCAAATAGATTCCTGCATTTTAGTCTTCTCTCTGGGACAAAGATTCGCTTAAATAGGTCTACTTAAATACCTCATGTGAATTAAACATGCTAATGTAAAGGACAAATAAAAAGTAATTTATGAGTGACATAGAAAAGGCTTTCAAATTAGTCATTTTTAAATTTCTTTTTGCTTTAAACCTGCAAAAGGCAAACCAGTTGTGAAAAGACCAAGTACATTCCTTCGTGGATGGAAGGTAACAAGTTAGTGTGAATTTTTTCTGTAAAGTATAACTATGGACGTTTCCTTATCTACTATTACCCTTCTCCAGGACTTAGCACTGCTCTCGGGAAAAAAAAAGTTCTTTAATTTTCCAAGAGCAGATATACTGCTGAATCAGTAGTTTCATGCCATGTCCCTCTCCAAGACTTGCACAGATTTTAAAGAAGTGTTTATCCTGCAAACATTGAGACTTTTTCTGGCAAAATAACCTTAAGGAGCTACATATCGTTTATTAGTTCAGCAAGGACAATCATTTAAAAGGCTCAAAGAACTATAATCTACTATTAAAAATTAATTCAAACTATAAGCCTCATACGTGCTACCTGGAAATTTTTGTGCCTTTGAAATCAGCTTTTCCTATTAAAAAAAAAAAAAGGGAGATGCCTCTGTACCATGTTACTTCATGAAGTACTCAAACTAGAGATCTGATCATATGTACACGCAACATCATTCCAATGATCAGTGCCACTGTGTCCAGTGTACTGCTCCCATGGAAAAGTGTTCTGGCTGTGTATGCAGAATTAAGTCTTGAATTGAGTCAATAAGAGGAGAAACAATGGACTATGGCAAAGGGCTGAGAATATGGTTCTGTCATATGTTTTCTGGTATTTCCTGCTCAGGTCTCTGGCGGAGCCAGAAATAGCGCTCATCAAGTTTAACAGTCGACAAATATGAAAACTAACTTACAAATGAAAAGAAGCTTCTTTAACTTATCCTAGAAAAAAAGTTAAAAGGTTTAATTCCTTTGAATGTTATGTATTAAAATTGTCACCTGGAATGCTAATACATTTTTAACAAAAATATTATTTTAAAGTACAAAGTTTTACTTTAGTGCAAATTTTGAACACAAATACTAACTTACCGGATTTTCAACCCAATAAATCATTTGTTCTGTGTCATCAAAGTCAACATCAACACCATTTTGAACTCCTGCTATTGGAACCATGGCATCATTAGTCTTCTCCTCAGGGTTCAGAGAAATTCCATAAATTATATTATCTCTTACAGCAATAAGGAAAGGCTGTTCAACTGTGAAAACACGTAATATAATTCAGAATTATGTTCAAATAGGTTTCATCTGATCAAAAAATTGGCAATGCGATATGGTTCCTAGAAGCCTGTTCCCTGACGCTGACAGGGGATGGATGAACGTTGCCAGTGACATTTTGCAACCACCCATGGTTAAGTTTTTTATCTCAATAGGACTGAGGTAGTCAGTTGTTGTAATAGTTATAATATTCTAAGGATCAACACCGTGCTCAATTACAGAAAATGTGCAAGCAAATTCTGAGAAGCGGGAAGTAAACAAGGCTAGACCCTTCCTTGCTGGCCGAGGGAAGAAGCGCATCACTCAACGTTGCTGTTCTGAACACTGTTAAATATAATTGCAGTCCTGCGTGGTGTTGTTTTATCTTTTGGTAGTCATGCTCCTTTATAGCAAACCTCTTTTCAGGTAAACACATATCCTTATGCTTAAATCATTAAAAAGGGCATCTAGTCAGGTGATCTGAGGAAATGCATTAGAGTTTTACAGTGTGAGCCAGCAATCCAATTTCTCCTCTGCAAGGGAGAAGGGGAAGAGCAACTCCTGAATATTAACTCCCTTATTCCTTGTCCATTGTCTGCCCTTGGAGGTCAGAACAAATTCTCTAGCCTCTGTCCACAGGCATAAGCTACCACTTGACAGGGAACTGGGCTGTTGTCACGGGAAAGGTAGCGATATCTCACTTCTGACATGAAATGGAGTTTGGGAAGGAGTTATCACTAGAGCTGTGAAATACACTTTTTGTAACAGATCAAAGATTTTTTTTTTTTTCCTTCACTGGCTACTTAAACAGTACATTTAGCTAAATTTTACAACGAAAATTAATGTTGACAGGAAAAACTACAAACCACAGCATAGTTGCACTTTTCTAAAATTCTCCTCCCCACTTTTCTCTGGCAGCAGGAACTATTTGCCAAATTTGACACAAGTTTACATATTGCTTGTCTCAGCACAAAATCAAAATTTTGGCAAATAATTGCCTGAAGATATTTAGCTAGCTCTAAAATTCTGAAATTCCTGTGTCTCCTCCACTTTTTTTTTTTCCACCAAGGGGGGCAGGCGAGTGCCCTTTTACAAAACGTGTGGTGGAGCAGCTAAATTCATATGAATGTTTCAATGCACATAAAACCTCAGAGTCATTATTCCCTCTCAAACTGTACACAGTACGCCACTGCTGAATCCTGCTTAAATGCAGATATGCCACTTAAATTAAGCTAGACAGTGCTTTCGCTTCAAAAGTCTGACAGTCTCATTAAAACTAAGAATAACAAACAAATTGCATTCTATAGAAAATTGTTGGTGAGTCCTTCCATTAAATTTAACACGTGCGTAAATCTGCATAGTGTGACTCTTCTTCATTCACATAATGGGCAATAGATTAATTTCGCTGAGCTATCCAGACCTAAAATCAGCAGAGCTTAATCAGATCCATGTAACATCCTTCGTACAACTATTACATTTAATACAAATTTACATGACCAATGATAATCCATGTAAAATTAATGTATTACTATATTAAATGTACAAAATACTAAATTTAGTGTACTAATATAGGGTTTCAATAGCCACAAATTCCTTGTTGTTTTTTTTTTCAAATCAGTTTGCTACGTTACCATCTTCGTTATAAACATCAAAAAGCAGTTTAAAGTAAAAAAACTGTAAAAGTAACCTTATGATATTAGCATTCTTAGTCTTATATAAAACAAGAAATGATGCAATCCCAGCATCAATACTACTTCATCAGCATGAAGTTGGCAATATTCAATAAGCTAATTAAGTATGCAGAGGCCAGCAATATCATTGTGTTATAGAGAACACTGGGCAATCAAATACATATAGCTCAGTTTAATCTTTCTGCTGAAACTTTGTGCCGGCATCCTAAACTAAACAATGACAGCAAGGATTAGGATGGTAGAAAATAACAAAGAGAAACAGCAAATGCCTATTCTTCTGTAATCATTAGCAATAACTAAAATTTTTTACCATGAAAAGAATCAGCAAAGTTTTATAATGACTTTTGCTGATGAGCTAACCTCCAGCAAATCCATTATATAAAAAAAATCCCCAAATTGTAGGCACTTTCTATATACTGTTTTAAATACACATTTCATCCAAAAATAAAAAAAACAAGCCCATATACTTTAAAAGAATTGTGCTTCACAGGAGGACATTTCTATTTCTCCCTCACACAATTTGTATTGGACGATTATGGAACTTACAAAAAAGGTCACAACAGCACCCAATTAAACACAGGGAACTTAACAACACATCACTGCTGGGAAGCAAAGACAAGATCAACAGCTCGATTCAGTGGTGGAAAATAGACCTGGGTCCACTTCTACATATGCATGTCCTTCATCACTACCATATTTCATTATTTTCATCATGATCCTAGGCCTGCACATCCAAAAAACAGTGTAGAATTCTAAAAGAAATCCCCTTTGTAGCAGATTAACATGAAACGTGCATTTCATTTCAGCCTATTTAAACTTCTAATTCTCTTACTGCTGCTAAGAAAAAGGAGACCACAATATGGCTCTTTAAAGAACACACTGCTAAGCATCAAGCAGGGATGGAGAGTGATGTGGCCTTTAAAACTGAGATAGTTTTAAAAGAAAAGGATCTCCTGACCGAAACAAGGATTTCTAGTGTTAGCTTAGCCCAGAGATAATTTCTACTTAAATTTCAGTGCTCTGAAGCTTCCTTATTAGGCAGGCACCGCAGCACATTTCATATCTGTAGAGCTGACAGAAAAATTCATAGTGAACGCTCTATCTGATCAAATTAATCTGGTCAAATTTCTGGTTACAGACTACCTGCCAGCAATTTGTAATTTTCTTGACTTTTTTTTTTTTTTTTAAATGAATAGGCTGAATGATTTTTACAGATCATATGAGGTCGGTGGACCGGTCAAAGAAAGTTCAACAGTACTTTTTGATATGAAATATTTGGTTGCAAAGATTAGCTCTGCTGCAATACACAAGCAACACCTGTAGCATCCATAATGCCTATAAGTCTGTGTTTCTAGACCTCCTGCATTTGCATACTTATTCTTTACACTGGGGAAAAAAGCTCAAGTTGTGAAATTTTGATCTGAATTCTACAACGCGCTAGTTCAGACAGGCTGAAAAAAGTGATAAGGTGGCAAAGCATCTCTTCTGATTTGAGGAAACCAAAAGGACCATGACTTCATTCCTAGCAAAATACAAGCTGAGAAAGAATGTGATAGTCTCTTTAAATAAGGGGAGCACATACCAGGAGGGAAGGAGAACTACTTATGCTATTTATCCTGAAGAACAACGCCAAAAATGGGCACAAACTGAGGAAAGAATATACTGAAAATCAGAAGGTTTCCAAACACCAAAACTGTGAGATTCAGTAACAACCTTTTAATTGGAGTTTTAGGGACAAGAAAACAAATTAATCTTAAACTGTAGCTTGATTGGTGAAAGGAAGCACATGATGTGGTAGTCAAGGACAGGAAGGAAACAGGACTAGAATCTTGGTCGCTAAGCCTGCATCGCACATTTTTACAAGCGTAACCCTTAAAAACAATTTGCAGGCTGCATACTTACAAAGAGAAGGACAATGTTCTGCCAGAGTAATCTTTCATTTTTAACTAATGCTCAACTCCTTCCAGGTATATTCCAATGCCAAACACTGAATATGCTGAGAAACTACAAAATGTGGCCTTTTTTAAAGTGCTTAAAAGAAAATTCAGTTCATTCATTTTTGCTCCCAAATGAAGCATCTAAATCTCTGGCTTTGAGTTCTTTCTAGAACCTGGCCCCAAAACCTTTAGCCCAAGCACATGGCACGCTTCCTAAATGTAGCCTGCCTGGAAAGGCCCCAAACTTTGATTTCATGAACAGCAGCCTAGAGTTTTGGACTAAGCACTTTGCCTGACAGAGGCATGGCTCTGACAAGATTATATCAAGTCTTTTTTTCATCTCTCATTATTACTGCCCTACCTCTCATGCAGTTTCTGTTATCAGGAGAAAGCTCCCATCCTGAAGGACAAGCACAGGAAAAAAAAAATGGCCCAGATGAAGAAAGCAAGCAGAGGTGGCTACAGGGAGAAGATGAACAAGAATTGATATCTGAAAAGAAAAAGAAAATATTAGCAACTAACAATATGATAGACTAGGAAGAACACTTAATGTCACTGGCACTGTTAAAAACAGCCCAGCACTAAATCAGTTTTGATATTTCTTTAAACTTAAGAACTAAAATATTTCCAAGAACCACAAGCATACCAATACACTTACAATATGACATAACTTTCCTGTAAAACCAGCACCAATATCATATTGGTCTTTTCATTTGTTTTTATTAAGTAAAGTCGTTTAAATATTTTTCAAACCTTTGTCATCTGCCTGCAGGATTCTCAGTCTCTGACCATTCTAACCTTTCCAGATGGGGGATTTAAATTATTTATTGAAGTTTTTCAGAGAAAACTAAGCAGATAACATAGTTGCCCAAATCTCATTTAAAGGCTGTGGAAGTTTAATGCGTAATTTGTTTGGGTCACTTTGTAACTTTCCGTCTAAGCTTGTAAACTCTAAATGAGACAGTGAATAAAGTCTCTACTGACTGCCATTACTACCGCACATTAAAATTAAACCATTTAGATTACTTCCACAAACATGCTGCTAAAGATAATTTTTCAGGATGTGTCATCTCCATAAGAAAATAAACTCATATTTTGTGCATACAATTGCAAATGCAACAGGTCTTACTCTAAGAATCTAGTAAGTTGCAGGAAACACAGTTGTTCCTAATATAAAAACTAATGAGCACTGAAAAGAAATTAACAAGATGGCAGTAAAACAGCAGCATAAACTCAGAACTCAAACTCTCAGAGAATGATTCATCTCATCAGTATAACAATCTAAAATCTAATGATGTAAACTCTGATGATTTACAAAAAAAAAGGAAAGAGGAAGATATAGTTTTAACATTGTATTTGGAATTTCAGTTCTGCATGTGTTTTCTTGTCTTCTCTGTCTGGCCATATACAGTACAGCAGAACAATTCTAAAAGAAAAATCGTGAAACATACTAATTTAATGCAACGAAAACAACAAACCATTTTCCCCATCAGTGGTAGAAAGGTTTCACTACCCTGGAGTTGTAAAATAAAACCTTTTAAACCAGAACCATGATGTATAAATTAACAGTACCCTTTAGTTACTGCACAATTTGCAGTATCAGTGCTAAGTGACTTTGTCTCTGAACACGATAGGGGTAGGTTTTTGTTTGTTTGTTTGTTTGTTTTTTTAAATAGTGCACAGCACTGAAATTGCTTACACTGAGAGCCGACCTCTGTAAGAAAGTTTTCAGAAAAAAGAATTTAAGTCACTGTAACATTTACTGATTAAAAACAGTCAATACACAAGAAATATCACAGGCACAGTGAAAGACAGTATTTGTGACAACATATTTTCCACACTTCAAGTCCTATCTGATAGAAAGTCTGATTTGGAAAATGACTCTACCTGACAGAAGGAAAAAGTAATTTCCTTAACAGTCATTCACATGTAAGAATTCACTTGCATATGATCTCACAGGGAATCTTAAATGTCATGAAGGGATTTAATTTATTATTATTTTGTTAACCGAAATAATGTAGAAGTGCTTACAAAGCAAGATGATGACAGTCATCCTGTCCACAAGCATGACATAATTAATGCGCAAGAAACTGAGTCTGGTATGCCACAGAGACAGATTTTACAAATGCAAATGCGTTCAAAAAAAAGTTTCAGTTTTCTTAAAAGAAACATTAAAAATAAAGAGCAGAAAAACTGCGCACACCACTTCCCTGTTACTCCTTTTGTCTATTCCTTACGCTCATATGTTGCCTAGGTAACTTTCCCTAAATAGCAGGTTATTCAGCAGGTTGGACAGGCTGAAGTGATCCTCAGATGCAAGTCAAGAGCATAAATTATATCTGCTCATTTCAGCTCAGTGCATTTGTCGACATGACTAAATTCAGGAGTACTTATGCATGAGAACATTACATGGTTTTGTTCTTGTAATTACCAAAGTTGTTTTGCTGAACTTACCATGAGGTTGCTTTACAGGATGGACTGCCACAAGCCCCAGAGGCTGGTGAATGTTATAAATCATAACTGTTTGGTTTCCTCCATGCCACTTATTGGCCCGAATTACCCGATTAGTGTACCGGTCACTCCAGTACACAAAGTCTTCAAAGACAGTTAGAGCATGCGGATGCTGCAATATCTAAAAGGCAAGGATGTTTATCAATGTAGTTCTGGATGTTAGTATCATCTAAAGGTTGCACTGAAATAATAACAGAGCTGAGCACAATAAAAAATATAGCAACTATGTCTCAAAAGATATCTGTCATATATTGCCTGAAAACAAGATACTAGCTGTTTTTATGGGGGAAATATACTTTTAATGAAAATGCTAAATAGAGCCTATAACACAGCATGAGGAATTAATAAAACAATCAAACTGCAAGGTAGAACACAGGGAACCAACAGATAAAGACAGCACTGCAGATTTTCAAAGGCACAAGAGGAAATGCGTATTGGGAGTTATGGACCTGTCAGACCTTGCATCTTTGATAAGCTCCCCTGTAATTTTCCAGAATGTGGAAGAAAGTTGTTTATCTAAATTGCAGAAAACTAGGAGCGAGGCAGGAAAGAGCTGAAGACTGCACCAGCTCCTATTTCACAAGAATCGTCTGTCTGGCAAAGACAAATAAGCCTTGAGGTTTGACTGTTAAAAATATACATGCAGTTATTTATACAGCTTATGTGTATCAGCTGAGCATCTGCATTATTGCATTGTTACACAGACAATCTTGCCAACTGACAGCAGCATTTTGTGGGGAGATAGTTTGTGAGATGGATGGTTCTCATAAAGTGCCCAGCATGTGGCAAGTCCTGGCCACACAGAGCCCCTGCTGCTGTCAAGGGCAGCAGCAGTTATCACTCACAGAACACAACAGGGGGAACGTTCTTCCAGCCTCTTTGTAGTGTGTTTGACTACAGCAAACGCACCAGCTTCAGCAGCAGTGTCACAAGCAGCCATTGGACCTCACGCACGCAGAAAGCACTTGAGAATGATCTAAAGCACTAAGTCTGCACTCACGTCCAAGTTCCATTAAAGATCTCTTATGAGACCATGGAGAGGATATGCAATTCTTTTTTCCAACTGTAGCATGAAGCTGAAATATTTCTTCTGCTTCATAGGAGTATTTTGAAAATAAACACATCCAAGACTATGTAAGTGTAAATATGCTGTTATGTGCTACCAGTAAGGACATGGAAAAACAATGATTTTTTTATTAATGTCTTACCAAATCACTTGCAACCACTTGTCGTCTATTGTTTCCATTGTAATCACAAAAATCGATATAATCAAGGTAGGCATCAGCAAAATACAGCAGCTTATTTGGGTAATCAATTGAGAGTCCATTGGGCCAATAGATTTTATTGTTAATGATAACTGTTCGCATTTTGCCATCCATGCTGGCTTTTTCAATTCTCGGGTTTTGGCCCCAGTCACTCCAGAACATCACATGAGCACTGCAAAAAGTAGCTTGCGGTTACCAGTCAAAAAAACCTAACTCCCTGTTGAGAAACGTTAGACAAAGCCTTGCAGGCCAAATAATAGAAACAACACTTAACAAATACCCTATGGAGTGATACTGAAATCACTGAGTTCAGCAATATGCTTATTCCAGATATTACCCTATCTTCTGTTCCAAACATTTTTCAGATACTTTACTGCTGTTTTCATTTGTAACTGATAACAGTGAACAGAAGCTACACTGTTTTCACTATTTTCCAATGTTGATTAGAATCTCATTCTCCAGTTGCTGTACACTAATTTGATACAGGTTTGTGCCTTTACTGGCATGCCTTACTGGCATGACAACACTAATAGTGTGCTGTAACTGAGCGCCCCACATGGCTGGCAGTACAGATCAAAGTTCTAGATGTTGGAGGGCTCAAAAAAAGTAAAGGTTTGGACATGAAGAGTTCAAACAAAAATATCCCGTTTACACTATGCCACTTGTGGTCCAAAATGGAAAAGTGTAATATCTTAATAAGATATAAATGATTATTTTAGATTTGGGGCTATGAAAGAGCCTGTTCTTTGCCAGGTAGGCATACCACATTATATTGTTGGTAGGTCCATGGTATAACACCGAGTCATCATAATATAGAATAATTTTAAATTAAATGTTCCTATCTATGAAGCAAACGCAGGAAGATCTGTTTTAGAATAAGAAAAACATTACACTCAAGAGTAACAAAGTTCCAATAAAGATTATATGATGTTAAATATTTGCATTAAATTAAGTCTGCAAACACATTATGTTAAAAAAAATTCTCTTAAGTTTGCTCTTACAGCTGTTGTTTACAATTACAATACAATTTGAGCACAAATCAAATTCAGAACTTTGGACAAATTTAAACTCATTTCTTCTATTGTTATCATGATAAAACATGCATCTTTTCAAAACAAAACAAAACAAAATCTTACTCAATTCTGGGATCTAATACTAGTCCCCTTGGGTTTGTTATATTTTCACTAATCAGCACAGTCCTGTGGCTCCCATCCATTTTAGAGACTTCAATTGTTTCCAGAACAAAGTCTGTCCAGTAAAGATTGCGACCTACCCAGTCTACCGCTATACTTTCAGTCACGGTGACACCACTGTCAAACACCTGCATAATTTAAAAAAAAAAAAAAAAAAAGGGGGGGGGGGAAGGAAGAGAGAGAGAGAAAGAACAAAAAAGCTAGTTGACATTAAATTTGTATCCTATCCACTTCTGTAGCTATAGAAAACAGTGAATCATATCTCCAACACGTTCTAGATCTCGTATACAGAACGAATGGCAATGCACGCGCTCAAACTGCTGAGAAAGGATATACCCAAACATCTCTACTAATTTCTGCGGGTCTCTCATAGAAATAAACATCTACTAATAGGAAAATCAGTTTACAGCCTGATGTTAAAAAAGGGTTTCCTGAAAGTATTCAGTTTTCTTTTTCAAAAAGCTATACAAAATGTTGGCTTAGTATCTACAGAGTTGTTTCGCTTTCTCTGTTACCTCTCTTCCCACAACATTAGAATTTGCCTTTTCTGCTTTAACTGCAGATATAGGGTCTTCCCTTTCTCTCCACAATGAAAAGACAAGAATAACTCAGTGAAACTTACTATTTTTCGGTCTGTCGCATTTTGATAAGCACTCCAAATTTTATCTTGTGTTGTATCAGACCAAAAGATACGATTTGTGATTGAATCAAAATCAATAGCCACAATATTCCTTCCATCTCGAACCAGAGAATAAATACTGTGTGACTGAGAGGTGATGTTGTCTACAACAATTTGGTTACGGCTTGCCACTAGCAAGAGAAGATTTCCAGACTCTATCAAAAGAGAAGAAACAAAAATAAACCAGTAAGCTATTCACCAGTACTTCTGTAAGAAAAGTAACACTGAGTAATTTGACATGGCTTTATAGTGTCAAAGCTATTGTATCTAGATATAAACACTGAAAGCAGAAATTCAAATCAATTCCCAGACCGAGATATTTTATCACATTCAGTCTTTCCATCCTGACCTTGAGATCTACCCTGGCTTTCTTCCATTCTTTCTCCATCATTTACTCTTTCAACCAGATCCTTCTTCCAGTCTTCAGGTCTGTGCACCAGGGCCCTTCCCTTCCAGTTGTTTTGTCCAGTTTGCCTTTGACATCCAGAGAAGCCGCTATAAATTCCCAGTCCCCAATTCTGACTCCAAAGTTCCTTGTCTCACCAGTTACCCTACCCAGTCTAGCTCTTCCTCCTTTGCAGTCAGGCTGCTTTCCTTTTTTCCCTTCAGATTGCCCGGAGACCAGGGAGAAGAATAAACCCACTACAGGAAAGCCATAGCCGGGGTTATATTTCTCTGCAGATGCTTATACTGTTAAGCAACTATAAAGATGGCAGTCTCTGAGAAACTCCAGAGTAGCAAGGGCCTGACCTATCTGGAAGCAAAATGCAAAAGTCTTCCACAGCCTGAAGATATTCCTGAACCAGAAAATCTGTGGTAACAAATTCTGCTATGGCTTCTATGTACTACTAGCATGCCACAAAAGAGATACTGAGCAATGGAGATCTAGGCCATGTCAGTGTTCTTTGCTCTTGAGAGATGAGTACAAGGCACAAGCACTAGTTAGGTCTTCTCAAAAGGCTGGGATTTATATCTATTGTGGCCACTGAACTCTTTACCAAAAAAAAAAAAAAAAAAAAAGAGTAAATTTTAACATATGGGTAAAAGCTTACAGGTGCCTGACATTGCTTTTCTCCAGAATTTTACTTTTCACCATCCTAGTGTTAAAAACTCAGTGTGTTAACTTAACACCCTTTTTGTTTTGTTTCAATAAAGTAATAGTTACCAATGAACTCCTCAGCTGTCAGTTTTAATACTCAGATCATCTGCCATGAATGACTCATCAGCTCTTTCAAAAGACAACAATATGAAAATAGCAGCACTGGACATTTTCCAGACATTGTTGTCATTCTTCAGGTTTTGATGTCAATGCTCCTTACCTGCAGCTTTACAAGTCCTCCCATTGGTTTCTAGAATGTATCCATCATCACAGTAGCACCTAAAATAACCTCTTTCATTGTAACAGTGTTGACTACAAAAGCCTGGAGGGTCACATTCATTAATATCTTCACAGGTCTTAGAGTCATTTGCAAGCTGATATCCAATAGGACAGGTACACTGAGCTCCAAAAGGGCCTTGAATACATTCATGAGTGCAGCCAGCATTATTGTCAGAGCAGCTCTCCTGATCTGAAAGGGCGTTGGGGAAGGAAATAAGCATATATTTAACGAAAGCATCCCATGCTAAATTTAATTGCATTACAAGCTTAAAACTGCTGCCAGAACATGACTGCACAAGCACTGATTACACAGTATGAGACACTATTGGGGCTGATATTTTGTGCAAAATATAATATACACAATGCACACAAAGGTATACAATAACAGAGTATTTACTGCTGAATCCCATAAGGAGGCTGGGAATCCCAGAAGGCTGTCTGCTGAGTATTAATAACAAAATTTTTAAACTAGCTAGAAGTATACAAGTCACTCACTGTACAGTTAAGAATCTAAAATAATACTAATAGACAGTAATTTAATATTGCTTATAATCATACCTGGCTGGGGTTCATCTGAGAATGTGCATTGATTAAAGAGAAGAAGGAAGGAAAGAAAGAGAAGGGTTACACTTAAATCAATTTATAATCAACATAAATACAAATTCTAGCTACATATGAGCTTTTAGATTTTGTTCATGATTCTTGAAGTTAGACATTTAAAAGAAAATATTAAAAACTGAATCATATTTCATTTGAACTTAAAGCATACTACATTCAAGTGAATGCATTTGGGAACACAAAGTTGATTCCTTCATTGCTACATAAAAACCTCTATATTGAAGTCAGTGAAAGTCACATATGAATTCAGAGCACAGAACTGGACAGAGCTAACCAATTCATCATAGACATCATTGTGGTCTCCTTTCACTGCAAGCCAAGTGCAAATTATTATTTGATCTCTAATTTCAGTGTGCTTTTAATTTCCGTTAAAAACGTTGCTGCGCTAAACATAGTATGCTGAATACAGCCTGGCTGTTGTTCTGACGCTCAGCATATTCCATTTCTTTCTGATGTCACAGCACATTGCAAGCTACTGTAGATACTTAAACAGTAACTTACTGCACAGTGGAGATTCATCTGCTCCATTGGGACAATCAGCAGAATTATCACATACTTTGCTCAGATTCACACAGATACTGTGACCTGGACATTGCCACTGCCAGCTGGGGCACCGGAATGGCTGAGTAGGACAATCTCTCTCATCACTCATATCCCGGCAGTCATTATCACCATCACAGATCCATGCTCGATAGACACAGTTGCCATTGTCGCAGCGGAAAAGGGAAGGAGGGCAGGTCCTGGCAGGACACCTATGATGTTCATCTGAGCCATCTGCACAGTCAAGATGGCCATCACATTCCCAGGTAGCAGGAATACAATTGCCATCGGACTGACACTGGAATTCGTTCTGGTGGCACATCCCTGGTGGTCTTGTAGCTAAAAGAGCGACATTAAACCGTTCAGAAACTGTTTTCAGTTTTAGATGGAGATGCAAAAACACAAGGTTCAGTTCACCTCTTGCATAAGTAATTTCAATACTATAAAGAACTGTGCCGCTTGTAAATCAGGCCAAAGATCCCCAGTCAGTCCATCCACATGACACTTCAGAACTTCCTACTTCATAATACAGTGAACAAGGAAGCATAGTTCACCTACTGTTATATTTTGAGCAAGCTCACATTGATGTTCATGCATGGTACATGCCCAAAGCAATATGAAAGTATTTGCTGAAACAGCAGTTTCCACCTCCTAGTGTCGCGAAATTTTGACTAACTTAAATTTTAGAAATGATTCAAGGGAAAAGTTCCAACCTAACTCACATGGATATAAGATCTTCATTGTTCTAACTGTATATACTACTTAACTTTACGTTTAAATCGTGAGAATGAGGTGACAAGTAAGGAAAATTTTAGATCTAAAGGGATTACAGACTCTGCATTGTGCCAGGAAATCTTCTCTTGAGCTGGAATTTACTGTTTTTGAAATTTCTGCTCAGAAGAACTATTTATATCCCAGTTCACCTAAAAAGAATTTTGAGGTTATAATCACAACAGTTCCAAAAATTTGATAAAGCAGTCATAACAGATAAAGGACATTTTTGGAAGCTTCACCTAATAACTAAAGCTTTTATTTCAGCATTAATATACTTACGACAATCAGTCTCATCTGAGTGATCATTACAGTCAAAAACACCATCACACTGGTAATAAGTACTGATACATTGGTCTCCACTTACACACTTAAACTCTGTGGCACTGCAGTTGTATACTACAAAACAAAATGCATAATGTTAGTTATTTACTTTATTTTACAGGACTAGACTGCACCCGATTTTTCTGCAGGTACACAAGTCAGATATGATATACAGAGTCCAAGTTCCACTCAAGACCGTGATTTCCCTTAGACATAGAAAATGCAATGACCTTGGGATCCACAGAAAACTTAGAAGAAACAGGTCTCAGTCCTCTGCAACCAGCCTAGAGATCAAAGGGTTTGCTACAAACATGTAAACAAGCATCATAAACATGGAGGGAGGAGGATTGTTGTTGTTTTTTTAAAACAGATCATGTATTCTGCTATCTGGGAGCTGTCTCATATGAGGTCAAAGACCCTTTGGGGGTGAATCTGAGGAAACACTAAAGAAATGTTCAACAAATGAAGTTATACTTACCGCAGTCATGCTCATCAGCACCATCCACACAGTCTTTGTCTCCATCACAGACATAGTACGGGTCAATACAGCGATGGTCAGGACACTGGAACTGCCCAGGTTCACAGGTACCTGTGAAAGCTGCTAAGAATGACAATAAACACTGCTGTGTTTCTTTTCTCTCTTCTGAAATCAGCGTAATACACAGAGTACAAAGATACCGTCATTAACCTGCAGCATGCAATGCAGCAGCTAGTAATCACATAAATTACTAGCACAGACTTTAGTAGCAAGTAATTATTTATTCATATGCAGGCTGGAAGTCATGCAAAATAACTACACAACTCCAACCAGTGAGAAACAATCCCAAAAGAAGTATACAGACAAACAACTGTCTTATTACACTGCAAAATAATTACAGATACTTCTGTGTAGAAACTTCCAAATGAGTTTAGCTGATTACACCATTAGTCATTACTGAGATCTCTCACTGAATAAGTGCTTAGAACACCTGGGCTTTATTTGTTTGTTGCTACAAATTGCAACATGTGAAATTTTGCAGCACCATGATTACAATTGTCACAGTTGTACCCTATTTTTGTAAATGACTCTTCTGCATTCTGCTTGGCTCTGACAGTTCAAGTTAGGTGAGTTTTCCACATCTTACAGACTACAGAATATTATTCTAACTTAGCTATCAGTTCTTTCTTCCTAATCTCATTTACCATTCCTACACCCACAGAGACATACATACACGTTTAAAGAAACAGACAGTTCTGATACTCACTGCAGTTTTTTTCATCTGACCCATCACCACAGTCATTATCAGTATCACACAGCCAGATCCTAGGAATACACCGGTTATTGTCACAGGTGAACAGGTTTACAGGACATGAAGTGGGTCCTTGTGTAGGACAACGCAATTCATCACTGCCATCAAAACAGTCATTATGTTTATCGCAATGCCAGCGACCTGGAATACACTGTCCATTGGCACAGGTAAAGGCTGATGAAGCACAAGAATTGTCTAAACAAACAAACAAACAAACAAAAAAGGAGGACACATCTATAAAGATCTTCAAAAGCTGCTTTCCCTGACAGTATATTCAGTACACTTAGGAAACTTCTAAAGTATGCAGCAAATTCTAAAACATACATTGCTCAGAGTGAAAATATGCCAGTCATACCAACACGCAGCAGAACTGCATTATGACCTTTTTTAAGTTGCAATCAACCATAACAAAAAGCCACATTAAGTACTTCAAAACAATCTGAAGAACAAGAAAAATCATTTCTTCAAGCAGCTATTTGTTACATATTTTCATTTTCTCCCCCCCAAACATTCTAGTTGTTATAAAATAGCTAACTATTATGAGATAGATTTTATATCTTATTTATATTAGTCCTATGCATTAAGGGGCAGAATTTTATTAATATGTGCTATTTTCTTGTTTGCAACTTAAAAGCAAGAGTTAACTCTGAAGAAACATGCACCAATTATGTCATAAAAGCCAATATCTTCAATACTGTATCATCAAAATAATTCTCCTATTGTTCTATCAATTTACTTGATCAACAAAATATTTGTGTGAGTCATTTTACAATTAAATCAGGAAATGAACCAATATGCTTTTAATCTACTTCACTGTAAAAACCAAGACACAAAAAATAGTTCAGGAGTGTGCAAATATAATAACAACCAGAAAATTTCTATTCAGGTATTAGATGAAATAAAAAAATGTAGCTATAATCTTACAACAAGGTTAGATAATGCATAGGGTATTGTTATTTTTCTTATGCTGTTGTTTTTTTTAAAGTCCTCATTTTTATTCAGTACTTTTTTCATCATCTATGTATCAAAAATATGGCAAGCAAGTAATATTCCACTACCTTAGAAACTTGCAAAAACCTAAGAATTTAAGGCAATTTTCTTTTTGAGAAGAGCTATTTTTGTGACTTAGTCAATTCAGCTTTGAGAATTGCTTAGATATGGATTTTTTCGTGCATTCTTTATGACTCCAGTGTCGAGTCCCCTATTCCTATGTGCTGTCCAACTAATTCCAGAGTAACTCTTTTCCCAGACAAAAACTTCACAAAAAACTTCAGAAAGTTTGATCTATTTGTAGATAAGTTGTGAACTGCAAGCAGCAAGTATTAACTGTAAATTACAGGGATTACGTACTTAAAGAACCACAGTTTTGCTCATCACTGTTATCATGACAATCATCAACACCATCACACTGATAGTATCGAGGCACACATCTTCCATTGCCACAGGAAAATGAGTATGAGCCACACTGCAAAGTTGGTGGCTCATTGGATGGATCTTCAACACACGTCAACTGATTTGAAGCCAGCTTCATGCCATATGGACAACCGCAAACCCTCTGAAAATTAGGTACTGGAAAGCAGAAATGGCTGCAGTCTCCATTGGGGTTTGTTCCTCTATTACAGTAGTTAGAACCTTAAAAAGTGATAGAGCAGATCAATATATACACTACTGATAAGAGTTTGAAAACTATTAAAAACGCATAGTAAACGTAAAAGAACATTTCACAAAAAAATACTGGTGTGGCTCACACTGTGAAATAAGATCAAGTTCACCAACATTAAGAAAGTCACTGTAGTAATAATAAGTCTTAATCATGTCCCCCATTCTATATAATCTCCAACACCACCAATGTTTAAGGAAGCCAATAACATACTACTGAATTTGGTCCAATCCTGGCAGCTGTCTAGAAATAAGTACACTACAGCAAATGAGGCCCTTTGTCTCAGAGGGGCTTGGAGATTTGACCAACATTTGGACGCCAGAAAAGTAGTGAGCCTTAGTACACAGTTTGGTCACTTTTTTGACATTTACTAAGTAAAGTATAATATCAAATCCTTGTTTTAGCTCATCACACATCTAGAGTTCAGCTGAGTAAGAAGAAGAAAAAAGTAGAGCCTTATGCATGGTGTCTACTTTAAGAATAGTGGTTTTATTAATAAACATTTACCCAATTCTTCAAAATAAGTAGTTCAGTTTAACTAGAACTTCTACCAGAAAAAGAGAAATACAAGGTTGTAATTGGTGATAAAGTTATACAGAATGCAACGGAATCATAATTTCATTTTACAAAGTTATTGAATAAAGTAAGAGATGAAGTGGAGGAAAACTGCATGCAGTCACAAAACACTGACATACATCTGCAGTGGATTGCAAGTGTCTGTGCTGCTTCCCTGGCATGTCACAATCATGATTCTGTAAAGCCATCTTTAAAATTGAGAGTGTAAACTTACTATCCTGACATTTTGTCTCTTATTCCCTATCTCACCTCTTTCATGCATGCAACAAACAAGCTTACCTATTTGGGAATGAGCATCATATGCTTTAACATGCATAATGTTACTAATACCCCTCCTAATAATAGTCATTTCTCCTCCATCAGACTTCCTCACTCGAACTATTCCACCAAGTCTCCAATCAGTGAAATAGGCATAACCTGTTTTGAAAGACATTTAACACAACAGTTACAGTGCAATACGATTTAAGAGGTCAAACATCACGAGATAAAAAAGTAAGGCTTTTCATGTAAATTTAGGATTTTTCTTAACTGATTCCTAAAAAATAAGAAAAGGACAGCATAAGCCGACTTTTACCACTAACAGAGTAGAACTGATTCTTTCAGTCAGAGGTAAACCTAATTCAGAAAAAATATGCCATCTCAGATTTCATTTAAAGTGAGATTTAACAGACTCTAGTGATATTTCAAGTTCTGACAGATTTTTTTAAAGCAATTCCCTAAGACAACTTTCCAGAAAATGTCTGAATATTTTGAAGAGATTTTTGCATATCAAAAGGGTCAGATGCTGATACCCTTCTTCATATGCAGAGTATATAATTAGATTTATGTTGCCTGCAATTAATAAAATCCTCAAATGCTCATCACCTTTAGAGAGGTGACTTATCTTGTCCGTCTAGCAACTCCCATCCTGGAAGGTGTGATTCTTAGTACAGCATATCTGCAGTGTTGCACTAAAAGAGTTAACTGATCTGCCTGAAACGATTTAAATTCGGATGCATATAAAAGCAAGCAGCACTGAATATATCTTATTACAGAAACTTTCAACAGTGCTTTTTTTTTTTTTTTAAATGAGAAAAGCTGTATGACAAAAATCATGTTCTTTTGTCTCACATATTCACACATCATGACATGAAAAAAATTCTGGGATTGTAATAGATCATATTTTCCAAAACCAGACTTACCTCCAAAAATAGTAAGGCCAAATGGGTGAGTCATCTGACTGATACGTTCAAGTGTCCGTCTGTCCAGCCCATCAAAGGTGCTGTGCTCAATTTTATCGAAAAAGGCATCCACCCAGTACAGCCTTAAAGTACTAAAAATAATGAAAACGCCGTATCTCTTCAAATGACATATTATGACCATTAGCTAGAACTAACCTTTTCTAAAATAATAATCTTAAATCTGTCAGGATTGTCAGGAGGCTATTGGGGGATGGGCAGGGGGGGGCAGAGATAGATTTCTGAGAATTTAATTGAATTTTACAGGCTTTTCAACAAATTGAAAAATAAGGTCTTCAACAAGAAAGTGCCACAGCACCAGTGCACATAATCTGACACAATTCCTTAATTTTTAAACCCTAACAGTTTAAAGAAAGAAACACATTTGCTCAGAAAGCTTCTCTGTCTTCTCCCTGTATTGTTCTTACCCCCAGTCAATGGCTAGGCCATTAGGCCAGCCTAGCGTTGTGTTCACAATTGGCAAGGCATGGGAACCATCACTCCAGGCTCTCACGATTTTAGCAGGACGGAACCAATCTGTCCAGAATATATACCTGAAACGACACATGTCAGAAGACACATTAAGCCAATGGCATAATTTATTTAATAGACCAAATGCATGAGCAGTATCAACACTCTTATTTGTACCACGTTTTCACAGACCTTAAAAAAGTACAATTTTGTGTTAGTTCCCTCCTCAACTGGTCGTGGTACTAACAGATAGCCTTTATCCTGCGTATAACAACTTCTGGTCTTTGGAAATGGTTTGTTCCTTTAGACATGATATGTCCATATCTGTGTTAAAACTGTTATGGATTTCATGTAATTACAGACAGGGAAGAAGAACCAAGCAAAAAGATGATACATCCTCCAGGTAATACTTGCAAATAAGCATGAATATCATAAAAAATTTTCTCCTGATCCTTTTGACTTAGCCTACAGACAAAGATCTGAGGCTAGTGTTAAGTAACCTTAGAAGTCAGTGAACAAAAGAAAAAGTTAGGATCCCAAGGAACCGAGATCAACGCTATTCTTCTGAGATTATTTTCAAGATAGTGTACTTAGCCATGTGATTCTTACTAAACATGAAAATTAAATATTCAAGAAGTTAATTAAGAAATTCTGTAGTATGGTGTTAGGAAGCTGAAGTATGCTGCAAAAGAAACTCTGTTTTGTCATGGCCAAGTGTTGGCCAAGCCAAAGTTACACAAACATTGAAGTTAAGCAGTCCTATCAAAGGAAAAGAGAGCTGCTTCTTTCGCATACACCATCATATATTTTAAGGTCTATGTTAAAAAAAAAAAAAAAAAAAGACAGCAGTATCTAATATGTTTCAAAAAAAGTAATTCAGATAAAAAATAGAGGAACCAACGATAGTATTCTGGGAACTGAAAGTGTATTAAAAAAAAAGTTATGGAACTTTATTCATTTCTATCATGTGGATAAGAAAGCTATTCCCTGTAGTTAAAAAATTAAGGTTTTTTGGCTGTTTATCTATAGACAAAAATAAAAGACAAAAACAAATGCTTTTAAAGATAATTCTCCTGGGTACTTCTTTCATGCGGAATCTGTATCACCTTGCCCATTCCTCTGGGTGTTGAATCCTGAGCCAGAATAAAAAAAAAAAGAAAAAAGAACACAGAAGAGAGAGCTGCAAAGAGATGGCGTTTTGGAAAGGAACACAAATCCTATCAGAAATCCAGAGAGGGATGTATATCTAACCTCACCAATTTTGCTTAAATCATAGAATTGTTCATAGTGGTTCAAGTGAGAAGCAAAGTTAAACTTACCCAATAACAGGATGAACCACTATTGATCGAGGGTTATTTAAATTCTGAACAATAGCTCGCCTAGATTTATCTGCCAGCCTCATCACACTAATACTCCTATACCGAGGGTCTGTCCAGTATAGATTCTTTGAGATCCAATCAAAGGCCAAATCTTCAACACTTTCCACTCTATTAGCCGTCAGGATCTCTCTTCCTAGAATTTAAAACACATACGTAAATGTTTAGGAAGAGAGGAAATAACACGAATGCATTATTCTGTTCACAAAACTAGTGTTTCCCCTTGGTAAAAACGCTGCCTCTGTGCTACCTTAACATAATGTCCAAGGACAAAGTGTGGCCGGAGGGTGGGAAATGCTCTTTGTTCCAGGTGAAGGAGGTATATGATTCAGGAGTACAAACCGAATAGAAGGGAAAAAGACTAACCAAAGAAGATCAGATAAAAATCTGTCACTCAGTTTTCACTGAAAAGAATTTTATGAACGGAAGTCAGTAAGGACCATGCATCTTTTGGTCCCTTAGTTGCCTCTTCCTCGGCAATCAGATTTACCTACTCTTCACACAGTGAAGGTCAGCTACAGCCTACTATTACACTGACCCAAAGCATTAAGCAAGTCCAGGAAGGCTACACACTGACTAAATATACATTTGATCGTTACTACAAATTAGACAAAAATATTCTTCACACTACTACAATGGGACTCTTAAAACTTTCACAGTCGTAATGTTCTTTTTCTGTATTACAGCATGGGGATAGACATTGTGCTCATCAGCCTGGGAAATAAGAGAAAATAAATTTCATATTACTGAAAGGCATAATAGTCTGGAGGGACTGACTAATGTTGGCAAATACTTGTGGTGAGAAGTGCTACAAATAGTTCATTCCCAAGCACGTTCAGCAAGTTTGTCAAAGAGCAGGAGAAATATCAGTCTCTGGAGAGCAGAATCACAGTAAGATTCATTATTATACAATATCTGCATTTAAGAAATGGTTAGGGGTCTCAGTAAGTGGGGCTTATTACTCATCATTGTGCACATCTATAATGGAAAGATGTGAGACAAAAGAGAAAAATAAATTGATCAGAGCACAAGCTTTGCATAAAAAAGGCCTGGAGCCATGTACTGCTACTCAGGGGAAACCTAGGCAAAATTTAAGTCAGCCACTGCAGATGTTTTCAGGAAGTGAAAGGACCCTTGGCAACTTGGTATGTATTTAAGTTTTTATGAAAGACATGTTTCCTAATGCCCTTAATAAAAGTTGAACAAACAATTTGTCAAACATTTCCCAGATTACTGAAATTTTTCTGCCCATCTCAGGATGTGACTTTTTCTACTGCTTTTTAAAAATACATATTCTACTTGCCTTACCACAATTACTCCATGCTTTTAACAGTGCTTCTCACCTGAACCATCAGTTTTCTGTTTATAGATTATGTCTTTACTTGTGTCTGAAAAAAATATGGTGTCATCCTGAGCACAGAAATCAATTCCAATGAAGTATGAAGGGCTCCCTGTTATGGGGATGATCACATCTTCCTGGGTGGAAAGATTGAATGGGATTCCCCGCACCGCCAGCTGGGATGAAAAGAGCAGGAACTGCTGCACAGCTGCAAAAGACCAGACATAGTCTTTGTTTATTTACAGCATTGGACAGGTGAGCATTAACTATAAAGCTTTATTTTCCTTTGGTAACACTAATATCCTGGAAATAGAAAGAATAGGAAATGATGAAAAAATATGAATTTAAATACACAGGTACCTAAAAAACAAGCCAGAAGAAAAAGAAAGCCTCACCCATAATATTAGTTGATGTGGCCATGTCTTTCTCTTGCACTGTTACTGTGATCCTAATACCTCTTTACAGGAAATATTAACCCTATGGAAGCAGCAGTCTTGTTCTGTGCTGACCTCTTTACAAAAATAACTTACGGGCTTTGTGGAGTCACCATATAATCAGACTACATCTGAGCTGGCAATAAGTATAGCTGCATGGTCAAAGAGCAAAGTACAGAGACAACATATTCAGCTTAATTTGCCAGTAGATACACATGGTAAACCCTCTGTCAGTGAGAATTCTGCATGCCTACAGCGAGTAGCAGATTGCTGATGGAAGCACACAACCCCAAGACTGAATCTGGTATTCTTGCCCTATATGTTCAACAGAAGACCAACTTATTCTGGACATTACTCTTATCGGTGATCAGGGTTACATGTTCAAAGTAATGCAAAATTTGCACGTTAGCAAGCATCCACAGAATCATATGACTGTCTAGATGTATTCCACGTCTAACTTTTTTGAATGCTTGTACAAGGTGGGGAGTTTAAGGTGTCGCAGCTTGAAATGAACAATAGTTGAAATGACTACATTTAAAGCTGTCAACAAGAGCTGTGAAGGAAAATACGAACTCCTTGACATATTGAACCCACAATGCTATTGAAGAGAGGAATGAAGTTCTAGAAGTAACTCTCTTTTAAAGCTAATGGAACAGCGCTACTTCCAACAACAACAAGGCATTTTCTTACCGATGCAGTGTCGTCCATCTACATGTAGGTCAAAGCCCAGTACACATCTACAGCGATAACCTAGTCCATCATTATCTGTTTTGTGGCTGAGAACACAGATCTGTTCACATCCCCCATTATTACTTCCACAAGGATTTCTCACTGGAAGATAATATGGATAGGATCAAATCTTCATCTGTTAACCTAATGGCATCATTTTTTTGATTTTTTAGGGTTCTTTTCAGCATCCGCAATAAACCATGCAGGCCCTTGCGGGAACTGCATAACACAGAAATCATACTGCACCAGTTCGGTCCTGGAATGCACTGAAGTCCCAGTAGAGCTAAGCAGCATTCTAGGGGTTCAGCGCTGTCCAGAGAGACGCAGCACATAGCCTTGAGCCCATAGCTGGGCTATAATTTTTTGCATGCATACATACTTCATAAATATATCTTACAAACAATATATTCACAGCGTTAACCTTTTCCAACTACATACTCATTGCGGCATGGAGGAAGGAAAGTCTGAAACTGCTTAGAAGCACAGGTTTGACTTTTCCAAATATCAGTACATTTAGTAAGCCCCGCTTTTAAATGTGGTATTCAACAGTTTGTTAGCTGCAGGAGCTGGATGAAAGCACTGTGTGATAAAAATCAGTCCTACAAATTTATGTATCATAGCTATCACCTCTTTAGAGCAAACATAACAGTCTCATACAGTTTTTATCCAACTCTAGGTAAGATAATTCCTAAACCTCCCTTAACAATCTGTTGTCTTACCATATGGCTGCCTGGCAGCATGGTAAACTGTCACTCCATAAGGTCTTAATGAAGACTGGTAGATCACTTGAGGGTTAGATTCTGAAAACTTGTTAGCTTTCACCACTGCCAGTTTGGTCCAATCAGTGAAATAAACACTGTGTTCAAATAAAGTTATTCCATATGGATGAGGAATCAGTGAGCCTCCATGAGCTATTGTTCTCCTGTTACAAACATATTTTTAAAATTATTTACAAAATGCTATCTAGAAAAGAACTTCATTTTGATAACAGAGGAAAATATACAGGATTATTAATTCCTCCATTAGCTTCTGCTTCTATAGATGTAGAAGCAGCCAAAGTACAAATGGAAAAGATCAAATGTAATGAAAGAGATAAAGTTAAACATACATACAGTAGTAAAAATGGACAGATCAGAAAAGTTAGAAGTTTCCAAGAAAAATCAGGCCAATACACAGTGAATAAAGAAGAGGAATCAAAAATGTAGAAAAATAATTCAGTGAGAGAAAATTAGAGAGAAAGGCCAAAGAGAGGAAAGCACAGACACTGGTACAAATTCAAAATATTCAAGAAGCCTTGAATGTAAAAAAATTATGAATGCAGTAGGTTTAAAAAAAAAAAAAAAAAACCACCACCACCAACATACATACACACACTGTCTGCAGAACAGAAAGAGCCTTATGGAACAAAGATAACAAGAGCCCTGAACCAAATACTCATGCAAAACTGAAGACGACCAAACAATACCAAATGATAATACATTATGTCCATTCTACGTAAGAGATTATAACAGTATTTTTCTGGATAAACATTAGGAGACAAAGACCGGCTTCAAGGAAATAAAGTCCTCAGACAAAACATATCAATACACTACAATATTATTTCTCTTGGCATCATTAAGGAAAGTTTACAAATCAGTTGAATTCTACACCTGTGACAGCTTCCAGCATGATTAAGAAGTATGCTGCAGGCATCGGAGATGTCACACAAATGGACAAAAATTCTGTTTTAAAGCTGCCTGCAGACTATGCCATTGGTGCTTGCACTCTCGCACCACTTTTACCTTAAAGTAAGATTTTAGATGTTGCAATAAGTGCTAAGTTTTTATCTCCAAAAACCACAGATTTTTCTAAACACTTAACATTCTTGCAATACTAAACCCTGAAAGCAGCCTTGAAAAAGATAGAAAAGGAGCAAATTGAAGATACCAGCATTATTTTTATAAAAAATGTTCTCTTGTAAGTGGAAGAATACACTGAGCAATAAATTTGTCAACTGAACAAAGGCTTGGTTTTCAAGACTATATGTAAGAGTTAAGTAAAAAGTGAATAGTTTTTCTCTTGTTATTGAGTAACAGAGACTGTAATCACAGAGGCAGAGAAATAAGTAAGGTTCTAAACACTACACTTTACAGAGTAGTCCCATAAAAATGCAACAACTCTTCTCCTGAATTCTATCATACAGAAAGTGATAGGGTTTCTCTGGCATCACAATACTGTAAGTGATAACTTAATTTCTAACGGTGAAGATTTATAATAAGGTTTAAAGTGTTGTAAAAAGAGCAAAACCCAAAGCACTTAACACAACAGGGTGTTTAGGAGATGAACGTTTTAAACAAATTCAAGAAAATAACACAAAGTAGTGATGCAGGAAGACGATATATAGTCTTCAAACATAATAAAAAGCGAACACTATCAAAAAATGTATATTATAGGGGCGGACTATATAAAGTACATTTTTTAAAGGAAGTGCAATAGGTAATTCAAGATAAAAACAGGACAAAAGATGATGGAGGAATTAAGGATTTTCTAAAAGTAGTATGACACCATACACATCAACACGTCACACCTGCAAGTTACGTTGCAATTTTGGTCTTCTATGAATTTCATTTTGTTAGACAAATCTTCCTTTGAACTAGATACAGCTGGTATACCTGTAAGGAATAACAAGGAATGATATTTCTCCTACCTTTGGAGCCCATCATAAGTTACAGTCTCAATGTAGTCAAACCGGCTGTCAACCCAGTAAAGCCTCTTTGATACAATATCCAGCGTTATTCCAGCAGGCCAGCCTAATTTTGTTTTTATCAAATCCTGTCGGTTTGTACCATCCATGAAGGCCCTTTCCACTTTAGGATCACCAGAAAGACTATCCCAGTCTGAGAAAAATAAATATCTACAAAGGGAAAAAAAAAAAAAAAAAAGATAGTCCCATGTTTCTTGAGATTTTACAAAAAAGCCCCATCTTACATGGAATTTGCAAACTCTTTCACCATTATACCAGTATACTTTCAGGACAGAGTTTGATTCTCAGTTGGCATACAGTGAAAACGTACTTTATGCCTCCTGCCAAAGCACAGGCCCGCCTTTTCTGTTATAAAACAAATCTAGCAAGAACTATGCTTTTACCTAAAAGACCTCAGAAACTTTGGGTGTTCTTAGTAAAATACAGACTTAGTCAACTGCCAGAAATAAACCTGTGACAAATACATGTGTCTTGAAAGCAGCATTCATTACTATAAAGTGCATGAAACTCTCTGAATTCTCTGAGGATCCAAGATTTCATGACTCTCATACATTTCTGGAGCTCATATATATTTCTGAAGAGTGGGGAAACACTAGCTTCTCAGGCTTCACTCCAGCACTTTATTTCATATAGCAGGAGGTCTATGGATGGTATCACAACAGAAATCTTTTGGGACAACTTCTATTCTTGGATGCAGTTCCACAGTTCCCCTCTTTTCAAAGGCAGCTGCTCATGCACATGCAACTTGAGCCATAAAACAGATTCCTAATTCTGGGAATAAAAGCATTGCACAGCCCTGCCACAGCAAACAATTTAAGGTGCAGAACAGCATATGTGAACATGTAAACCATTTCAGGCTTAGATTCCAAAAATACTCCCCTGAGCCATTTCTTACTTCGCTTTCTTTTGCATGTGAATAAAGAAATTTCTGATATCTTCTACCATTATCACTTACCCAACAGTTGGATCAAGTGCTATTCCTCTAGGATTTCCCAGATTTTCAGCAATAAGAGTGACACGGTTTGTTCCATCCAAGTCAACCATATCTATTCTGTTCACGCTGGTCTCGACCACATACAATTTATTGTTAACCCAATCCACTGCTAGATTTTCAGGAGTGTCAACCGAAACATTTAAAACTTCTTGAATTTCAGAGCCATCAATATTTATGGAAAAAACCTGAAATCAACACAAATATTGACACTACTCACAAGATGCTTTGCTAATCATCTGAGTCATGTAGCACCTGTCCTTTATCAGCACACTGAGCACAGGTCCACATCTAGCCTTTAGATATAACCAGGTTACCCACTAAGTTACTCCCTAGCTTGACTTTTTGCAAAAATTTGCAAATAAACGCAAAAAATTAGGGAAGCTCACCTTCCACTACCACTCCTGCAAAATGGAGAAGGTAACAGACTGAAAGAGCCTTGCGCTTTTGCAAACACGGCAAATTGTTGGATTAAAACAGAGGAAGAAAGGCTATCTTGCTTTTCGGGAACCTTGCAAAAACCAGTATTTTCACTAATTTAAAAGAAATGAACATGCTTTAGCAAAGCACTAATCCGTGACCAAAAACAAGAAGGAGAGCTCTTACCGCACCAGCTATGGATGGAAAATTGCAAGGCAAATTTACTTCGCAAATAGAAGAAAGGAAAGGAAAGCTCTCTTTCTTTACAGAAAGGAGAAGACTCAGCATTAGTTTCGCTCTCTTTTATTTAAGCCCAATTTCAAAAGCATCACGCTCAAGGAGGAATAGCATTGTTATCTTAAAAGGAAGCTTACAGCTACACGAAGAAAATACTACAGATGCAATAGTTTTATAAAATGCAGTAATCATATAATGCGGTGTCGTAATTACATAAGAAATTAGGAATGATTTTCCTTTTTGGAACAGCAGCATGAGGTTTAAAATGTATTTAAAAGAAATTACAGGTCGCCACAAGTAAACATATGCAAAAAAAAGAAGAGCTGAAACGGTCATGTGATTTTAAATATTCTTCAGGCCCAGGTAATAATAATCTAGCAAATCATCTAATCATCTATTCTGTTCTTTGGAAACCTTGTGACAAAAGAGCTTATGGGCATTAGTTTAACAGACAGTACACCAAATGAGATAAGGATGATACAGAATATAACCCATAACTTTCTTTTTTAGTTTACATCTTATTCTTAAGAAAACGAAAGACAACCAAGAGAGTCCTAATAATACACTTATATTATAAGACATAAGGGTGGAGATACTCATCATATATGAGTATTTGTATTGCTTTTGCTTTGTTTTAGGTGTCCTAATAACAACAGGATTAGATTAATTAATCCTAATTAATTAAATAGGATTTAGCTACATTGGGGCAGATAAAAAGGCAGTCCTAGCCACATGGGGTACGGAGTAGAAAAACCTGTATTACTTTTTACTTCTATCTTCTACAGAGACAGTATAAATCTTCTGTCTCGAGAGTTCAGATTTGACCTTGACTTAACTCTCAGCCATTGTCAATTGCGACAACGGAAACCCACTGCAATGAAAATGAGAATATCAGAATTGTGAACAAATCAAAAACGGCATGGACTAATACTGTCCTATTTGATGGGCACGCAGAATTTTTCTGCTAGAATCAACATGGCTAGGAAGTGGAACTACTAGTTTGCAGTTTACGCATAGGTTCATAATGACAGCGACACCAAATTCATCTCTACGTGGTGCCAGCAGGAAGCAGGCCATGCCTTCTCCTTTTCTCAGCATGACAATCAACATGCAGTTTCTGCAGTTTCAAAACTTGACCTGGGACTTCTTTTCGTTTCAGTGAAGTTGTGCAGAAAAGCTTAAGTTGAACTTTTCAATGGGTCTCCAGACTGATTTTTTAAGAAGACTCTGTTTTACTCTACCTTGAATCTAAAATATTTCCTCTTTAAAAAAAAAAGTAACAAAATATTCGCTCATTAAACAAAATACCGTCAATATTTGTTATCCAAGCTCAATTACAGTGCCATTTGGAGTATATGAAGAGATCTGATTTTTATCATCTTGGAAGGCAGACAGGTTTTACATTTTAAATGATCATGTTTCAAAAAATTACCAAGAAAAATTTGTCCAGTTTTGAAAGAATGTCTACTATTTCTCTTAATTAGTCTTTTGGACTCCATCTCAAGTAAAATTAAAAGTTGCTCAATACATTCCCATCTAAAAGCATTCTTTGTTTAATGTATCACATGTAATAGTATAGCTTGAAAAACGCAGTCATTAACATAAAACATTTCAAGGACCTTTTTTGTTAGAAAACAAAAATACAGCCAGGTTCTGCTCTCAGAAATGAAAGGCTATCAACACATTCTGCTCCTAGCTGTTCTCTACTTCCACATACACAAAAAAAATTTTTTTATTGAAATTTCTACCCACCTTATCTTGTACTGTATCAGTCCAAAAGATTCTGTGCAGGTAAAAGTGAAAGTCCACTCCAACTGCAACTCCACGATTCCGTGACTGTACCAAAGTACGAAAACTCCTTCCATGAAGATCTCCAATCAATAAATCACGGCCATTGGAAAAAATAATTGATGCAACACCAGCTATAAGCAAGGATGACAAAGATACGATTACTCTGTAATCGAGCTATTTTGCAAAGGGTCATTGAAACATTTACATACTATGTACTGAACACAAAGGTTTAAACAGACCTATAAACAGGCTATAAGCTATACAGATTTTTTTTTGTGTGTACTTACATGCTTTGATTTGTCTTGCAAGGTGTACCACAGCGTTCACCTTGGAAAATCCACTCTTTTAAACAGTGGATGTTAATGGTGATTGTCAGCCTGGTTTATAGTCTTGGAGCAAGCCAGGCAAGAATATGTATTTAAAATTCTACTGGGAAAAAAACTTTACAAAACCTTTGTGCATCTATACTCCAGAAGACTTCTTCTAATTCCCTTCTATTTCCTTGCTCTATCTCCTTTAATCAAAGCATAAACTTTCATAAGATTTTCTGCACTGTGAGATTCAGATATTCTTTGATTCTAGCATACAGACCATCTTCCTTATCTTTTTATGTACTGCTCTATCCTATCTTCTTCATTCTCTGATCTCATCAGATCTTTGCTGTATATTACTACAGCAGAGAGATTCCAGTAAGTCTTTGAAGGAAAGCTCACTTTCAAAGTAGATGCCTGTTGATACGCCTAGTGTATGTCTGAGAGGAATATATTAAAGTCCAAATCCTATTCACCTTACTTAGAAAAATGTCCCCAACTGAAGTAAAAATGAATCCAGGGAAAATGACTTAGGGCAGGTATGAACTCCACAACAATATGATAACAAAATTAACACTCTACAAACAACCCACTGGCTCAAAAGTCACACCAGTTTGAATGGAAAGCTTTTCATGAAAGATACAAGAGCTTCTCAAGAACCAGAACAATCTTTCCTAGTGCTGACATATCTTACGATCTTATGCTTGACTGTATTAGATGTACCTATTTCATTAGCTCGAAAAATTTCATATTTTTGAGGATATACTTAGAAAATTGCAAGATTATTACTGCTCTAGAGAAGAGGATGAAGAAGGAGGGAAGGGGGAGGGAACTGGGCAGTTCATGCTTTGCCCAGAAGCAAGACTGCTAACCAGCTACGCCAGGCAGGGACTCCCATTCCCACTGAGTTTCTGTAGGCAGGAGTACCTGCCTCACACAAAAGCCCATCAGGCTATTACATCTCCACAAAGAAGGGCTTCCCAGCACCTGCTGTCAGAACAGAGCAGGAGGTGAACAACCAGCACCAGGTGCCTGCTGCTGATGGGGAACCACGCTCTGTCAGGCAAGCGTTCTTGACCAGGTCAGACTCTGTGAACTAGAAGCCACGGTTTCTCTCACAGGTAAGTGAGCTCATAATTCAGCAACATCTTCTTGCACGGCACAGTCCTTCTAGAAAAAGTGAGGTTTCCTAACTTCTGGCTCCCGCTGAGTTCCCCCGTCAGCAGACCAGGAAACTACCTGCCACCGGAGCAAGACTTCCTCTCCATAAAGGAGGGCTATAGTGAGGAGCTCTCAGCTCAGGGGCAGTTGGGAACGTTGAGAGCGCCACGGTTTCGGGGAGAGGCAGCCCTGCTGAGCTAGCCAGCTCTACCAGCCTGCAGGCCTCAGCAGATGCAGAGTCTCTTGTTGCTATCTACTGACCTGAATGCTGTTCTAACTGCAAGGCCCTAGGGACTGAGCTAAGTCAAAAATCACACTAGTATGGCATAGCCTTGCAAACTGCCCCACCTTAAGCACTACCTGCTGTAAGTCCAACAACAGTAAGAGATTCTTGCACTGCTGCACACTAACCCGAAGTGTTGGCTCGACAGTGCCGATGATGTTCTAGGACATAACCTTCCACACAGTGGCACTGGTGATGTCCCACACGATCTTCACACAGCTGGTCACAGACACCCCACATTTTGCAGTCATCAAAATCTGTTAAGTGAATAACGCATATTTATAAATAATACTTTTCATAAAAGGGATGTCATCATAGTTGGCAAGCTACAGATTTGTCCTCTCTGCTTGCTTTATATCTGTTTGCAAATGTACGGCAATGGGAAAGGAGGTTTTTATAGCTTTTTTCGCAAATGTTTCAATTTTTTTCTTCCGGAAAAGAAAACGACTGGTATCTACTGCCCAGTGACCTGCCCAATAAAAACCACATTTGAAGTGAAGAGATGTTGTTGTCTACTTTCCGCAGCACAGAACATGTCTACAACGGTATTCTTGCTACAGCAGCTGTGAGTACACTTTGCACACAAACACACCTGGCCAGATTTAAGCCCACTCTGAACCAGAGCCATATCTTTATGCTGGTGCAGTACTGAGCTCAATCTAATAAGCCTGCTAAAAGGCAATGTTTACTGGCTTGGACTCAGTACCACGTTAACACAGGTGTCCAACTTCCTATTAAAAGTTGGCTGCAGACCAGACAGCACAAAGTTGAAACAAAGAAGTTCACGACAGCATGCAGAATATCATATAGCTGTAGTCTGCAGCTAGGAAAACCCAGCAAGTTCTCACATGTGTTCTATAAGCAATTTCTTGGGCTGCTGCAGAATGTTTTAGACCTAAAATTATAAAATATCTAACCCGTCTCCTTTAAAAAAAAATAAAATTTCCAAATAACTTTAGGGGGAAGAAAAAAAAAAAACAACCAATCTGAACACTCTGGTGTCTCATCCCATCTGTGTTTATTTACAGCCCAGGAGATATCCGACACTAATTCAGACATGGTTTTGGCATTACGAGTTTAAACTCCTTCACTAGAAAACCTATGAGCACAACTGGTACCACATCACATTGCTGGAAACTTGCAATTCTACTGTTAAGCCAAAAGAGGAGAAAATGAGATCTCAAATATTCTCCTTACTAGTACTTCTGGTTTTAAACATTTATTGACACAAAAGTGAAAATTAAGTGTTTCCCAGACAGTACATTTTGGTATTGAAAAGATGTTATTCTCAATAGCATTCCAGCTTCCATATATATTAAAAAACATCAGTATACAGTGAGTCAGAAGCAAACAAGGAGAAGATAAATTGAAAAGATTATGGTTTTCAAAAGTAATACACTCTCTGCTAACACCATAGCTTAATTCTTCTGGCCTTAAACCAATAAAACTCATTGAAACTAAGATCTGGAAGTATATACTACTGACTGTGAGCCATTCCCTGATGACAAGTGTTTTCCTTACAGAAATATCCTTAGATCTCTGCAAAACCAAAATACATTGATTCAAACTTTCAAGCCAGGCTCAGACAGCTAGGTTTACAACAGGGCAGTGACGGAGAATAACAAGAGCCACTGAAACTAAACCAGGTTAGCAAATGGGTCTTTCATACCCTCCCTGCATCACAGTGAAAGAACAGAGTAAATTCTGCAGTAATTCCGGAGTCAGGGCGTTGATTCCTCCTAAGAGCATCCCTGGTGTCACTCCAGCTCATGCAGCACTGGGCCACCCAGCACTCAAGAATACAGAAGTCTCCTGACAAACTATGAGTGCCTCAAATACCGGTAGCAGCACACACACCATACCTTGGGTTGAAAAACCATCCAAGAAGTTAGATAAGTATCTGTGAGGCAGTGCTAAACTCCATGACTCTGAAGTTACTGCATTTTCAGTTATTGAGATAAATTGTTTTCACTACCAAAGGTGTGTGCTTCCAAGTTACAGCAGCCACGGAATAAAAATGCAGTGCCAGAATACCTCATTCACTTTTACATTCTAGCAAACTGTCTTCATTTTTACATAAGTAATGTACATACTGATACAGGATATACAGCCATTGCACAGTGCAAACAGAAAGCACCCTTTTAACATGCAATGATTTACAGCCTTCACATATAACCACTTTCAAGAAGTAACAACCACTGATATCATTAACTGATTTTCCAGGCATACAGCAACACACATCCCTGGAGCTAACCACTGAAAGACCTTTAACAGAATTCATAATGAAGAAGCTATCCAAGAGTAAATATTGTTAATCATCGTGCGCTCAGCATGTCTTTAATGGTCTTACTGAGCAAGATCTCTCTGTGACTTGTGTCTATCTCACCATGCTGACATCCTGTCATGCTGACATTCCATATTTATTCTTCTGCTGATTCTTGAGATTTACCTATTTGCCTGTACATCTAATCACTTAGAACTTGCTCATATTCCTGGAATCCAAAGCTTCCCAATGAACTGTGAGAAGGCACTGGGTATCTGGAATCACTGTACTTCACTTACCAACACAAGTACGACTGTCATTGCTACTTATTATATATCCTGCAGGGCAGTAACACATCCCTCCTGAGGGTGAAGAATGACAGCGATACTGGCAGCTCATGGCAGCGCAGCGTGATATGTCTAAAAAGGAAATGGAAAAAGTTCAGAAACAGCATTACATCTGTTACCAGTAGAACCTTTGCCTTACTAACAACTACAAAGCTATGGCCTTTTCTATGATGAACATAGAATTTAAGGAACTGCTTCTTAAAACAAATGATGGCTCAAGTCCACAAAATCATGGGTGCTTACATACATGCAGGCAAGGAAACGTTAAAAAGAAGTAACGCTAAAGTTAATAACAGGTTTTGAGAGTGTAGTTAAAGGATAAGAATCAGTATCATATGAACAGCTATAAAGTACCACCCCTGGTAAGAACGTCACGTAGACAGCTGCAGGGAAGAAGCCATCTGCAATGCACAGTACATTTCTCTGGTTCCACAAGACCTACTTGTGCACAACACATCCCTGAGCTCCATCTCTTGGAACATAACCTCATCATTTACTTTTCAGGCAGAAAAAATAACCTACTGTATCAGATTAAGATGATGAATGTTTATATTATTCCAATATATTGGAATACATTGGGTGGGCTGTATCCATGGAGAAACTCTTCTTTACTTCTCTATTTCTTCACCATTCCTCCCTTTCCTTGTGTTATTGCCTAATGAACAATTCAGTGACAGGTGAACAAATATGACTGTAGAGCAGCTGCTGACTTCCTCCTCCTTCCTTTCCATCTTCCTTTTCCCAACGCTTTTTATTGTTAAATGCTTCTTTTGCGGCCTACATTTGATATTACAATGATGCCACTCAGCAAAGGTAAGAGGCACTTTTCCATAATAAGGTTTAAATTCCTAATATTTTTTCCTGTCCTCCTATTCCTATGATTTAATAGGAATATTCCTCTTCCTAGAATTTGAAAATTTAAAAAACCCTGGGTCTGATTCTTAGAGGAAATTAACGTTCATAAGAGTGAAATTAACAGGAACTATGCATGCTCATTGCCTCCAACAGAGAAAACCCACTATACACTAACTGGAGGACCAGATGTCAAAGCTGCAAAGAGATTTTTGAAAACTCTAACTTAAGTGACTTGCCCAAGGCCCACGATATACAAATCCAGTCCTGTGTTCTGATTACAACATAACATTCCTACTTGCTCATAAAAAGAAAAAAAACACAGATATTTAAACTAAAAAGGCATAGAGACCATTTTCCCCTGCCTTCCTGAATACATTTGAGGATAAGGAAAGAGAATTACAATCCTTACTTGTGAAAATTCATGTATGGATTTCCAAAGGAATGGTCTGTTTACAGCAGACATGCCTTTTTCAGGCAATCCAGTCAGAACAGCATCAATAAAAATAGTGAGCTTCAAAATTTTCAACATTGTTTAGGAGACGAGATAAAAGTAAAAAGATATCAATAAGGATGTTTCTGCTATTCCATGTATGCTATTAATTCTAATACTAACTGCAATGTCTGCCTGCAGTGACGTTAGTTTCATCTTCTCCCGCAGGACAGTCTGCAGTCCCATCACACACTTTCCCAATTGGAATGCAGTGCCCTGACTCAGGGCAGGCCCATTCTCCTGGGTAACATTCATGGCGGCCACTTTCTGTGGGAAAGAGAAACAAGAATAATTGAGGAGTATGCTTCAAAAAATACTTAGGACTTCCTCCCTAAAAGCCTCCCAGAGCATCTCTATCCTTTATCGTTCAATTTCTGGTTCTTACATACGGCTAGAAAAGACTCTAAAAGAAACATCCTCTATTCCTCCTTGTCATGCTCTTTCTTCTTCCTTCAACCTGCAGTGCAAACAATACTCACGCAGACACATGAATACTTCTCATTTTCCCTGCTTAGAAACAGTAAAACCATTTAGCTTGAGACTATTTGGGGCACCAGAGATAGAACAATGGTTTCATCATTTCAAAACATGCTAACCAAAGGATCTCTGAAAAAGTGAAGAATGTTTATCACAGAAAAGCCCAGTGATAGAAAAAAAAAATCTCACACTTCTATTAATTCAAATTTCTCTTTCTCATGAGACAAATCTTGGCAAAAAATGACTTCTTTTCACTTTGAACCAATTCATTTTTGTTATTAGGAGCATCTCTTCTTTGAAAGGAAAACTTGAAAATTTCCACAGAAAGTAGATAACCTTTTACAAACAATATGCTTGAAATGTTTCTGACTAGACCTATAATTTCTGTTTTCTGAAGGTAAAATCTGAATAATTTGCCTACTAAGGGAAGAATCAAATAGTTCAGCTATTCTAAGTGACTTCCTAAATAGTTAGTAAAATCTATTTATTCAAAGTAGTTTCAGAAAAGCCAATTTTATTACAGTGAGAATGGTCACAGTAAGAATTATGGCTTTTCCGAGGACATTTGGTCCACCTATGGAAGTCAATAAAAGAACTTTTCAACACTTCATGGGGTGGTATCAAGTCAAGCAGGAACAAGCTACTGTTGATACAGGCTAAATTTAATTTGCACTGTATTCAGTACCGCAGCAATAACTCTCATACACACAACAACACAGTGAATATTGAATAGTAGAAAAAAACAGGTAAAGATGTAATTTATATAGTGAAAATAAATAGATACAAGACATCTTCATCTGTCAAAATTTCATAAAAGTAGCTTAATGAGGTCTTCCTCTGACAAGTCATCATTAGAAGAAATTAGCATTAGTATATACCACATCCTCTTTCATCTTCATTATCTTCACAGTCATCATCTCCATCACATATCCAGCTCTGATGAATGCAGCGGCCACTTGGGCAAGTGAAAAAGTTGCCTCTGCAAGTTGCATAAGCTAAGGAGAGAAAAATCAGTAAGTTAACCTACTCTAAGTGATAAAAATCCTAGAAATGGTAACAGTTGCCTGGGAGATAAACAGTCATTTATAGTCTCCCCCAAAAGAGAGGGCCAATTCCAAATCTCATATGTGAGATTTGTTGTAAACATTGCTGTTTTGCTCTGTTTTCAAGTGGGAACTTTGTTTTAGAGTACTCTGGTTCTTTAAAGAAATGATAAGAAAGGCTACATTTCTCTCTGAATTGTGCAACCAGATGCAGAACACCTTATTATCAAGGTTCATGAAGGTGGGCATAACAAGGAGATGATACTCAAGACAGGAGGTAAAGATATCGGTGACCCTAGTACTTAGAGAAACAGAGTAAAAAGCACAAAACAATGAACACTGATGTCAAGGCCCTCCACGGTTGGTAGGCGCTCCCTGGCTTAGGAGTTTAGAAACATTCTGGATCCTCCAAGGGCCAAGCACAGCCACAGAGATAAGAGGGGGACATTCTGAGGGAAAAAAAAAATCACACTGGTGGAACAGCAACCTGCTTTTCTTTCTGTGTGTCCAAAAGTAAACTGTCACTGAATCCAGCACATTTAAACAGTAACCACGCATCCAGGCACTTGGCAGCAAATTCAACTTGGAAAACATCTGTCAAAGTAGCAGTGATATTTTTCATCTTTCCATACAAAACATCCCATGTAGAATACGGGCTAAATTTCAACGGCTGTCTAGCCAAGCAATCTACTTTTTGCTATCTGATGTACATTTGAACTAGTTCTTAGTAAAACAGTTAAAGAAACTAAATAAAGCCACCATACTACAAGATTTTTCATCACTCCTGTCTCCACAGTCGTCATCATGGTCACAGATAAAGGCTCGGGGAATACATTCTCCATTAGCACACTGAAACTGCGTACTGGCACATCCACGTGCTGAAAGAGATTTGAGCGCAGAAAGAAACAGAAAGAATTTGTCAGAAAACTACAATGTTTATCTTAAAAAGAGGGCCTATAAAGTCTATTTGGGTTCACTCTCCATGTGGTACTTACTGCAATTAGCTTCATCAGAAGAATCTCTGCAATCCACTTTGCTATCACATCGCTGGCTTGCATTAAAACACGCTCCGTTTGCACAAGATAACTGTTCACATGTTGGGTAGCCTACATAAGAAATCCTTCAGTATTAGAACAAATATTAGACAATAGAGTATAATGATTATGTGGTCACACATATCCATTGTTAACAGCATGTCTGGATTTACAGAAAAACAAAAAAGGAACACAACACATCCCATACTACTACAGATAAACAACCCATTTATCCAGTAACCCATCTCCTCTAGCAGATATTTAAGAATAACGTCCAGATAAATGCTACAAAACCTAGGGGAGAGACTAGGGGAGAAACGAGATGCTCTCCCCCAGCCCAAAAAGATCTACAACCCAAATGATTTACAACGGGATAGAAAATGACATAATACTAGAGGAGAGCAAGCAGTAAACATTGGTTTTCTTTACTTGCATCTCAGCTGTATGTTTTATTGATCTTAACAAAATTACTTAATGAGATAGAAAGGAAGTTCCCGAAACTTACAGATACTAGAGATACTTCAGATATTCACAGTTTTGTTCTAATTAAGCCTAGGATATTAAACTCCCAAGTTTAACTTGGGAGGAGCCACTTTGGGACCTCCGGACTTGATGACTTGTTTTCCCCTTCCCCAGAATAAGACAAGGATTATTTCAGACAACTTGGAACTTTTTCTGAAAATATTTATGCATACAAACAGTCAGTGAGTTCAGTGGAACTATCCAACAAAGTAAGCATGTGCAGTGCCAGAGTAGTTGAGCAAGAGAAGGCGAGTTTAGCTTAGCTTGCTGCCCTTTAGAAAAAAAGTTGCTCATTACAGGCAAACAGCCGGTCAAAAAGCAAGTAACCGCTATTTTTAGAAGTGGCATTTACTGAAGGTTTTCCTCTGTATGGATGAATTAGGCAGCTAGGTAAATGAATCCAAGAATCAGAATAATCAAATTTCATTTTGCACCTTTTAGTTTTTCAGTCTAAATTCTGATCTCAAATTATTTCCATACAAGTTATTAAAGTGGATATAGCAGGCTCTTGCTTAGGCACATTTTCACTCATAGCACGTGGAATTCAAAACATGGATTATGAAATCACTCAAGTGGAACTCAGAAAAGCCACAATTCTTCCAGGCAGTGGCAAACTATTTTGCTTGGTTTTGCTCTTCTGCATATCACCACATTCCCACTAAACTTAATTAATCTATTGAGTAGGCTTACATGATTTTAACTGCTCTTTAGGAAGTTCTTAATGTGAGAATATAAACAGCTTAGATGTCCACTATAACATATAGTGGACACTATATATAGTTTGGTCTAGCCAGACTCTCTCTCTGGCTGATTCATTTCCATTCCATTCATTTTCACAGCAGTAAATGTGAGCCAGCAACTGACAGGTAAGAACAGTACGTGTCTAATTCAGGGAAAGGTCGTTGCAGAGTACAAGGATTCCAGATACAGAGTCCACACCTGTTACCTTCAGATACTAGTTCACAGAACTTCTATTCTAAAAGCCTGCATGGACAACGCCAACATATGGCCTAAACATGATTAGCATCCTTCTGCCTACTTTCCACTCAAATAAACTCCCTTTTAACACAGACAACTCATAAATCTTTTGCTTGAGTTGGGCTTATGAACAAATTGGAAAAAGCCTCAGAAAAAACATGAATTCTGTAGTCTTAACTCTGGGCTTACAGAAGGTAAGCAAGGACCAATTGGCAGCTATGGTTTATTGTTCACTGTGGGATCCATGCTTCCTGCCTGTCTGGAATCAGAGAAGACATCCCAGTAAAGCAACCATCACAGTTCTACTGCATAGCAGGAAATAGGCATTACAATACAAGAGCACTGTAACTATTTGTGGGGCACATATAAGAACAGTAATTGCTTTCACTTGGTAATTGCATTCAAGTCTGCAACAGAGAGGAAAAGCTTCTAAGGGGAATTATAAAGGATGAGCTTGTATCTTTCTCAACTTTCTTCATATCCCACAGAAACACCTCCAGTGATGTTCTAAGCTGTTTCTAATGGACTGA